AGCCAGCTTCACTCAGCTGCTGAAGCTGGTCCGCTGAGCAGAATGCACGCAGCCGCTGCTGTTGAGACACAGGCAGCTGCAGAGAGCAGTTACTTTTACTTTTTGTTATTGTGAGCAGGGGCGGATCTACAAGGGTGGCAGGAAAAAGAAAGCCTTGCTACCCCTCTGGGGCATGGGTGTCGCACCGGTGCGGAATGTGTGTGTTCTAACACCCACACATTTTTTAATGAGGAGGTTAAACACCTACACTTTTCCTGCAGTTAAGCTCAAAAAATGTACCATCAGTCCAGTCCCTCAGAGTTTCTCTGGTTGTGTTTGCCCACTCCCCCTGACTCTGCTGTTGCTAATTGAAACCCGCACCTTTCTGCACCGGTGTTGCGCCAGTATTCCAATTGGTTCCGCTGTTGAAACGTGTTTCTCCATCGCTCTGCATCGCCCAAGCGGTATAAACGTGTGCGATCATTACAATCTTGATCTGGTTTGGTTTAATACGAGCCACAGATCTAAGTTGGGTGTTTATTTATGAAAACTTTGTAGAATGTAGTCACACTAATGAGCTCCATTAGCCAAGATCTGGTGTCACAATGAGAGTTAACGTGATGAGCAGCTCCTGTCTAACGGGGACAGCGGGCGGAACCAGGACCTAGCTGGGGAAATTCCCAGTGGGCCGGTTTGAGGTCGGTGTTTGTTTTTGTTTTTTCCGGGCCTGTGTTATTCTGTTGATCACCAGCTGCTGATGAGAGGGTTTCTCCTGTCAGGAACAGGTGAGCTGCTGAAAACTCTAACCGAACAAACTTCTGTTACTAGAAACCAGACTGTAGTGACCTGTTATTTACTGTATAATGTTATAATTAATATTGAGTGAATGCACTAAACCCAAAGGTGATGGAAGATAAGATTAAATAAGCCTGAATATTTTCTCCCACCGCTCAGCTCTGTTAGAAATAAGCAGATGTTGTCTTCAGATGCTTCAGCTGGACAATATCCATATAAGTATACAAAAAATATTAACATATAACTAAACTTTTAATGAATAAAAATTTTTAATCTTTTTTTATTTTAATATTGATTTTATTTCATTTCTAAGGTTTGGATGTCTGTGAACATTACTGAATTTTCTGATTGCTGTAAATAATACACATTAATATTAATGTGGTTTGGTCTGAGGTATAAAACTCTGCCCTGGGCCTAAAGCCCTGCAGATATATTTACACAAAACCCCCGAGCAGGGGTGAGTTTTGCGACTTGTACAGGGGGTTAACGAGAGGCGATTAACACCTCACGACCAGCCTCCAATCATCAATCGTGCAGTCGCACAAATATCTAACATGTTTCATATTTAGCTCATCCCTTATAGGGTACTGCACTGTTGTAATAGTGCTGCGACCCAACAGCATCAGAACCACTCACACAGCGCATGCATCAACATGGCTTGCCAGCTATTTTCATATAATCAGCACACGTTGTTTCTTTTCATTTTTACACTTTTCTCTGCACACAATGACAATGATTGTCAAGAAACATATTACTTATGATTTTGACCAATAAGATGTGATGATTCCATACAAATATGAAATATCAACCTGATTGATCTTTGAATGTTTAATCAGAAGATTCTAGAGTTCTTTGCTTTTTTAGGGACCACAAACACACTTCGTAATAATTCAGACAGAGTCAGGTTTATAAAAATGAATTTAATTATTTTTCCTAAACTAATGACAGATATGAATAATGATATGTGATGTAATGGATATGGAGTGATTTAATGTGATGTGTGAAATATTGTAATGGAAGCTAGATGTTTTAGCAAAACCATTCTTTGTATCTGAGAGAATTTGTGAATTTGTAAAAGAACTTAGATGTTTGTTTGATGAGCTAAGGATTGTTTATAAAAGTCATCCGACACAATCTGTAGAGTCTACAATACCCTTTTGTGGAGATCCCCTTTCATATCCAGGGAGTCACAGAGTCAAGAGGACATCAACCTCAAGGTACCTGGAGCTCGTATAGTTTAGCTCCAATACAACCCGTCTAGTCTTGAGATATATCCAGGTCACAACAGTAAGCTGGAATGCTTGTTTGCATCCAAGGTTGTTGTTTGGCTCTTAAAAGAGCCGTTTGGCTGTATCAGCTTGCAGCGTACAAAGAGGCTTTTGACTGGATGTCAAAAGAGATGGTTTCAAAAATGCTTGTTCCCATATTGGCCGGTTCGAGTCCGCTAGAAACTGAATTAATCGGGAAGTGATTCTTGTTTTATTGAACTCACTGAGGGTTTTACCAAACATCCCTCAGAAAGCAACGACTTCTTCAGATACAAATGTTTTAACACTTTGTGAATAAGAATGTTTTAAAACACTTATGTGAAGTGAATATTAACATTCATATGTATCTTATTGTAATGTGTATGAGTGTAGATATTAACTTGTTAAACGCATACTGATCTGGTGTAGATAAGATCTGAAATGGATCATTGCAGGAACAATATTCATTTTAAAGCCATCGTTGGTTGAAGCGCAGACTTTTGAAACATTTGATTTACACATCTTGTTCATTCAACACATATGATTATAACTTATAACTTATAACTGTAAAGTCACATAGGAACTTCGAGTAGGTTCACTTTATTCAGAGTGAGGAATGCTGCAGTCTGCAAGAGGCCTTGAGTGATTTTGTTATGTCTTCTTGTTTACAAACAAGCACTGAGCAGAAATTTATGGATTTGGGGGCCAGAGAGATAGTGGGTTTATGTCTGCAAATGAAAGTTAATCTTGTGTGGTGAAAATTCACCCCTTGGATACGTAACAGAACAATAAAATCAAACTACGGTATCTTGTTGCAGTGACATATTTCTTTGCACACAGTGCAATTACATTGACCTTGTTTCAGCTCAGACCATGGACATATTTATCTGTATATTATTGTGTGTGTGTGTGTGTGTGTGTGTGTGTGTGTGTGTGTGTGTGTGTGTGTGTGTGTGTGTGTGTGTGTGTGTGTGTGTGTGTGTGTGTGTGTGTGTGTGTGTGTGTGTGTGTGTGTGTGTCACCACCCTAGAAAATGCCACTCCGAAAATCATTTTCTGGATCCACCCTTCCTGTGAGACAGGAAGAAATGTGCATTTTGAGCAGTTTTCATCTAGTCCTCTCCCGCATGTCTCGTCGTGTTTTATTCACCAAAGAGCTATTTTTAGCTCGTCAGCATCTCGTTTTTGTTATGAGAAAAGGGGGCGTCGACAAAATAAACACGCCATGGTTATCATTAATAAAAACAACACTGTTTGAAACAATGTGGCATTACTGGCTTTTTCTTACTAGAAAAAATATGTTTTAAGATCTATATATTTTGCATTGGACTCCTAGCCAAGGTTGCAGCTTATTTGTTTACCAAATAAAAGTACATTACACTACATTAAGGGCAGACTGTTGAAGGCACAACATAATTTTAAGGTGCCAGTGACCAAGTGATTAACTCAGTTATCACATAAAAGTACTTAGTAACAAACTGACATTTATATGTTCTATAAAGCAGTTGCATTCTATAATATCTATAAGAAAGATTTTTACAACTGTTTCTTGCTATCTGGAACAGGGGTCTCCAACACGTCGCTCGCCAGCTACCTGTAACTCCCAAAGCACTTGAAAATTGCTCGCCTGTAAGCATTGTAGTGAGCCATCCTGCTTGACTTCAAAATTGACGGTCTGTGATATACAATAAAAAATGTGTTAAATAAAAATCTCTATCGCACAAATCTTTTGGCAAACATGTGCACAGGCTTCCAAACTTTCTGGCCATCTCCTGTGATTTAGTTTCAACAAATTTCCCTCAACTGTTTCAGCTCATTGTCCTATTTAGTAATGAAATGTGACTGAAAGTTCTCTCCAATGATGGTGCTCAAGTGGAAAGACTAATACCCTGGAGTCCAACTAATGTACAGATCCACCTGGTCTACACACAACCACACTCCAACAAGGCTAGACAGCAGAAGACCATGACATTACAGTACAGTGGGCGTATGAATACATGAACACATTTGCACCATTACTTGTACTGTTTGTTTAATGAACATTTTTTTTAACCGTTAGTCTAGGGAGCGACTTAGGGTTACATTTCACTCCAAGTTGTACTTGTATGACTGAGAAAGTGACAAAACTTTAATCTTTTAATCTCTGGATCTGTGTTGCACAGCTGTCAGACCCATGGATCAGCTGATGTGGAGGATGAACAGGATAAACCTTCAACTTTGTCAAACACATTTTACTACAGTTATGCACTAGTGAAGCTAAAGTTAAGCAGAGGAATGTGTGTCCAGTTCACTTAGAATTTCACATTTAACTTTAAAATCTTCATCTACATTTCATTTTTGTTTCTCCACCTTTGGTGCTGGCAGGATCCATGTACGGTCAAGTAGACCCATGGATTTAATGCATTGAACTTATATAGCGCTTTTCTAGACACCCAAAGACGCTTTCACACACACTCACACTGCTAGTGATGGTAAGCTACTTGTAGCCACAGCCGCCCTGGGGAGGTCTGACAGAGACGAGGCTGCCATTTGGCGCCATCGGCCCCTCTGACCACCACAGGCAAGTTGGGTGAAGTGTCTTGTCCAAGGACACAACAGCAGGATACCCCTGGCGGGAGCTGGAATCGAACCCATGACCCTCCAATCATGAGGCAACCCGCTCTACCACCTGAGCTACTGCTGCCCCTGATTTTAAGCATATGACACTGTGCGAGTGCACAGGCACATGCTTGTGGAAAGGGGGGGGGGGGGGGGGGGGGGGGGGGAAATACAGTGAGCATCCTGTCACTATATCCCAAGTGTTTATGTACCCTGGCTAGTTGGCCACTGGTTAGCGCGCTTTACTCACCCTGGAGTCTGGGGATTAAATACCACCTGGGCCCTCGTTTCACCACCTTGCCACACACCCAGTGTGGAACACTTAAAATATGAAGGCAGATCAGTTGTTTGATCTATAACTGCGTCCATTTACCAGTCAAAGTTGCTTTTGCAAGATTTTATTAGAGCAATATTTCATACCACAATGTGATGGTTATGCAGCTTACAATACTTGTAGATACAATTTCTTGACCCATTGTAAGACTTCATGCGCTCTGTGGGAAGATTTTCTTCTGCTGCCCAGGAGGGGTAGTTTCAGGAGCATGCTCTTTCAGATAGTGGATGCTCTGGTAGTAGTCCTTGCCCTTCTCTTGGTTCTTGCTGAAGGTGGTGTAGGTGCCAGGAGGGTACAAGCCATACAGGAGCCTGTAGTCAAAGTACGGAGAGGCTGGGTAGAGATAACGGCTACCCCTGAAGACTCCACCAACGTAAGGAATAGGGTAACTAGGAAGTCCTTGTCCAGGCCCCATGCTGGCACCTGGGTAGCCAAATTTTTCTGTTTCACGCTGGTAGTTCCCAAGTTCAGCTTCCTTCATAGCATTAGATGTCTCCCCAGACTGGAGGACTGGTCCTGATGGTGCAGGGTTTTGAGGGAGAAGCATGCTGGAGTCAAGGGTCTGGGTTTTGGCCAAGCCTTCCTCAAAGATATTAGGAGCAACGGTCCACTTGGTTTCTGGAGAGAATTGGGGATTCAAAAGATAACAGTATTCACTGAACAGCATTTGGCAATCTAATACACTTCATACCTGGTAGACTGGACCCAGGACCTCCAGCCTGAGCAGAGCCAGCATCATATCCTGCTGGTAGATATACCAGAGGAACAGCACCAGCACCAACTGGGTATGCTGCTTGAGCTGGTCCAACCATTTGCCCTGCCCTGGAGACATCTCTAGAAGCACTGTACATGGGGGCATAGTGGCCAGCGACTGATCCCGGGTGAGAACCAACATCACCTCCTTCACCTGGGTGACTACTGCTCTGGCCATGAGATTTGGAGCCTGAGAACAAACAAAACCTTGTAAAAGAACAAACAAAATTTTACAGGTTCATTGTTAGAATGTGGTGATAAAACCATACCTTTTGTTGGTATGCCATGCACATCCAGAATCAGCACACACAAGGAGAACCTGATAAAAAACAAAAAACAAATTAAGACATTTTATTACCCTGACATCAATAACTAATGCAGAAGCATTACCCATACCCCAAAATAAACCCTGCAGTCCACATGGTTAAACACAGCAGTGACAAACAAGACACAGGTGAGGGTTTATAAAGGTCTGATCAGTCAGACCTTAACGAGTTAACAACATGCAGCTGCTGACAACAAACATGCTTGTCTTCTCATACACAGCAAATCAATGTCCTTGTTATTAATAACAATAAAAGAAGCCAACTAAATGATGGGACATGAGACACTTTTAACTCTTTAATTCTGACGTTGGACTTTTTTGGTCATCATGATAAATCATAGGATTTCAATTTAAACTTTGAAAGAAACACTTTGTTCCTTGAGAGTAGTTTAATAGGCACAGGTAATAAGTCTTCTTAGGTAAATCACAGGAGAACAAGTTTAGACGGTCTCAATTCATGGTTTGTTCCATCATCTAAGTTCTCATTTCCTTACTTTTCTGCTCTTTTTGTCCTACATGACACAGTTTGACTGTGGCTTTAACCAAGTCTTCTGTTCACAAATAATATTTGTATTCTCTTTTAAACTGTATACATACTTTTCAAACTGAAACCAATGATTTAAGTGAGGTTCCCAAAGCATTAAGATTTGTGTTATTTGCCGATGTTACAAATGTTTTCTTCTCTGGGGAGAATTTGTAGGACTTTTTGGACTTCATTACAGCTTAAATGTAAAATATCTGAAAAAGGAATTACACAGAATAATGAACCTTGCGTGTTTTAAACACAATTACGATCTGGGTTTTGAAAATAAAAACAAAACAAGCCAAATATTTGTTCCTACCTCCTGTGCTGCTCAGAGTTGCTAATCAAACGCACCTTCCTCACAGTGTTGACAACTTAGCAACATTTTATCCTAAAAGCACTTAGCAAACAACTTTGAAACATTTACTCAACTGGCCTGAACTTAATCCCAGAGAAAATCTATGGAGTATTGTGAAAAGGCAATACACCTGACCCAACAATTTAGAAGAGCTGAAGCCCACCATCAGAGCTACATGGGCTCTAGTATAGTTCTACAGACTGATCCACTCACCACATTGCTGCAGTAATCCAAACTAAAGAGCCCCAAGTAAATATTGAGTGCTGTACATGCTCACACTTTTCAGTTGGCCAGCATTTCTTTTTATGTATTTATTTATTTATTTATTTATTTATTTATTGCATTGGTCTTAACTGATAATCTAATTTTCCTAGATATTGAATTTGGGACTTTTTTTAGATGTCAGTTATAATCATCAAAATTAAAGAAATAAATATTTGAAATATATCAGTTTGTATGTAGTAAATGAATCTAATTTACAAGTTTCACTTTTTGAATGGAATTACTGAAACAAATGAATTTTGTCATGATGTTTTAATTTTATTACTAGCAGCTGTATCTTATGTATTGTTGTAGGTATATACTCATAAACAAAAACACACATGAGAATTTTAAATTATATATATAGACAAGACCCAGAGATACTTGAACTCCTTCACTATATAAACATTATATATATATATATATATATATATATATATATATATATATATATATATATATATATATTTGAAAGATGAAATGGGGCAAAATAAAATATAAGAACTTTATTGAAAGACACCAAGCAATATTTAGAGTCACAGAATGTATTTAGATAACAACTAAGGAAATATACAGATGAACTCCACATTAATACAAACAGATGTGGCTTCACATGTAAGAACTGTTCTATTGTTTGTCAGTTCGATGTTGGTTTTATGCAGTTTCACATTTTTTACAAAACAAAGATAATATGGTGTTTCATTAACAAATGACAATTATAAAGAACACATTTAGGTGTTAAGAAACAAGAATATATTAACAAAACTGCTGCTGTCTTTCCAAAACGTGTGTGTGAAACATGGACGTCATTAGGATTGAGATATAGGGGGGGCTTAGCCCCAGGAGCTTGACCTCGAACGTTTTTTGTCACACCCTGCAAAAACTTTGTCAATTAATTCATTATCTGAAGAAAATCTAACAAAACCTATTATTTTATCACTTTCTTTTCCTTTCCTACTTTTGTGCATTTTCTCTCTTCTTTTTATAAAAAATAACACTTAATCAGTTAATTAGTGGGGTCTATGTTGAAGAAAGATTTTATGTAAGTCCATTAAAAATTTGATATGTTATATTTCCAAATAAAGCTATTCATTTCAGTCTACTGCACTTAACAGGGGGAAATGTTGTAGTCATTTATTTAATTTGTTTAATTACAACGTGTTTAATTATAAATGTTACTGAAATGTGACAATAAAGAACAAATGAATAATTGTCAAACTTTTATTCTGCCAAATGAGTGTGCATTTGACAGTTTTAATATATGAATAATACTGCTATGATATGGAATAAAGGAGTATATAATTAACTATTACAAGACAAAATAACAGTATATATGAAAATATCCAGCAAGTAGTAGAACTTATAATACAGAAAGTCAACTATACAGATACAACTTGACATAAGGTTGCAGGTCACATGATAATTATAGTTTTTTTTTCTCAAGTTCTCTTACCTGTTCACTCCTAATTAGAAAACTGTTCAATTTTGCTTGGGAACTTTGTGCTCAGGTAAATGCTCATAACGGTGCGCTCGCCTCTGTTTTCTCTGTAGATCACTGACCTTGACCATGCAGATCTCCTCAGCATCAACCACCTGGTCTCTCTCCTGTTCCTCACTCACTCTCTTAAAAAAATCTTCGTATATCCATCTAGCCAACACATTGAAAAACATTTTCAATTTCTAATGCCAAAAAAAAATGCTACTAAGCCATTTAGTTTTCACTCACAATAACTGAAACAGCCATTGGTGGATAGATGGTACAGAATATGGACAACTGTTAGCCTAATATAGCCTATGTTTGGTTGCTCATGATGATGGCATTTTCCATAACGTCACATTAAGCTGCCAAAATTTATGTTAAAGTTAGACGAGTACAATATCTCCTTTCTTTCCCATAGGTAAACATAGGAAATATTAAGCAACTGACAACCCACATGGAAAGAATTCATATAAACATATGGGTTTTAATATATGTTTTGATGTAGCTTTTGAATATATGTGACATATATAAAACTGGCTGTTTACTATATTATAGATACATATATGTACCTATAATATAATATATATATTATAGAAAAAATATATAATATAGAAAAATGGTCAATAATATACACATTCGGCCATATTCTGATTCAGGTTTTTAGTGTGGAGTGATTTTTGTGCCACCAACTGGAGCGTGCAGTGATCAATCTGCAAGAGCACAACCTGCTCTGCAGTCATATGCGGCCCTGTCTCTGCATGCTCAACTCCGTCTCTGCCTGCACAAATCTCCCTGTTGTTGCTCAATTTGCAATTTACAAAGCAATGTAGCCTCTCCGTCAGCCAATCAGACAGCTCTCCATTATGCAATCAAAGCATGTCCAGGAAATACTGCCAGGAAAATTGCACTTTTTTCAGATAAAGAGGACTTTATATAATTATATTTAATTAGGTTGATTAACCCTCCTCTTTTCCTGGGACATTTCCACTGTTCACTTCCTTTTACACATCAAGGGCTCATTTATGTCTAACCAAACAGAGAAGAAACACTTTATATGTTGAAATTAAAAGTCCTCTTTAACTGAAAATAGTGCAATTTAACAGTTTTAGGAATGGGCAATGTGTCTTTTCTGGAAGTCAAATATGGTCACCCTAATCATGACACATGAATTACAACAAAGTATTTTGCAGGCAGTGAATGGTGACTGGTAGCTAACCAGCAGCAGAAAGCAGTTCAATAAGCTGTTAAATGGGTGTTTTTCTGTAAGGCAGTATTTCCTGGACATGCTTTGATTGCATAATGGAGAGCTGTCTGATTGGCTGACGGAGAGGCTACTTGTTGAAAGAAGGGAGAGATTTGCATCGCAGAGACAGAGTTGAGCCCACAGAGAGGGCTGCAGCTCCTGCACACAAGCGCAGAGCAGGTTCTGTTTGTGCAGACTCATTACTGTACGCTCAAGTTGGTGGCACTAAGTCACTCAATGAACTGGCTGGCTCGTTAATCACGTCACTTCAGGGGAGTTTTCCGACCATTTAACTATGGCGCGGCTTTTCATTATTGTTTGCGGCATTTAAACATGCTAGCGGAGTTAGCATTAGCATGTCAGTACGGTAACATTTTCCTCTCTCGTCTGAACTATAACCTTGAAATATTAACGGTGTGCTGCTGTTGTTGTCTTACCCTAATGTGATGTTGAGTGACTTACAAGAACGCTGAGCAGGGTTTGCTCATCGATATAAAGGTTTTGCTGTATAACCCCTGCCCCTGACTTGTCAACAAAGCTGCCGGGCTTAAGGGGAGGAAGTCCTTTCTTGATACTTCCTGTGTGCGACGGTGTAGTTCTTTATTCATTAATTATTATTTCTGTTTCAGACTAAAAAACTCATGTACCAACTACACGTGTCGTGATTGTGTTGAGCATGTAGATGTGAACAAATAAAAAAAAGTTAACTGAAAAAATAAAATAAACCAAAATGATAGGGGGGCTTGTGATTATTTTAGGGGGGCTGAAGCCCCCTAAAACGGACCTAACGACGTCAGCGGTGTGAAAGCAGAGTAGATTTGCAGTAATGTGACGTCATCGGCAGTCGAAGGACCCCGAGCAGATCCTGTACCCGAGCAGATCCTGTACCCGAGCAGATCCTGTCCCCTTCTTTCGACCGGAGCCGTCAGCAGCACGTTACTGCAGCAGCACGTCTTGCTTGCGTAAGCTGCTGCTTGGCCCTTCCCACGAGATGCGAAGCAGCAGGGGAGCAGCTGTCACCGACAGAGCACAACAACAAGCAGGAGAAAATTATAACATGGCTCCAAAAGGTTTCTGGTTTATGTTCTGTCCGTTTTATAATCACCTATACGGACCTGAAAAAACAAAGGAGCCCGCTAGCTAGGTGATAGCTTCTCACGGAGCTGCACAGTTAGTAACCTTTTTTAAAGTAAAGCAACCGGAAGGCAGTGTGTTTCTTTATTCTGAAAATCTCTGGAGCTTCGCTCCGTTTCCGCGTCCGATTTCCTGTCTTTCCTTCCCCAAAAATGTCGAACTTGACCCGTTTCAGAGGCGTCGCGCGTAGAAAATAGAACCGGCGCATAAGGGCCGCGACATGCTGCTCCTGACCCCAAAATTCCACTATCTCCGCTCCGCCCCCGCTTTCCGCTGCCTCTCGCTTCCGAACTCAAATTATACTGGTACCCGCTCTACAACGGCTCCGCTCCGGTGCGGAGACCTGAGGTGCGCAAACAGGCATGCACGGGATTTTCAAGATCTTGCAATACAGTCCGAGCAATAAACACGGAAGTTAGATCCAAACACCCGTTGTGTGGGAGAAGCATCGGCATGAACTGTTTAATCTGCCCATCATTTGTGTTGCGAGATCAGCAGTGTTTGGATCAACAAAGTGTGACTACTTTGATAGTGGAAACTGTATTTATGGCTTATTTTTGTGCATATAAAGTTCAACCGCCATTGATAGTTGTTAAAAGTTGTTAAACCTGTGCATATGAAACAAAAAACGCTTTTTGTTTATCGATTTATTGTGAAATAATGGAAGTTGTGCTTGCTCCCTTTTCTGTTGGGCGATTGTGATTTCTGTCCATTGACTGCGGAGGTGCTCCGGCGTCCGGCAAAAATAGAATCTATCCTATTTTTGCCGGATGGCGCAACAGCGGGCGGCGCACTACGCTGCACGGCCGCAGTAGTGGAACAGCTCTGATTGACTACAACGGGACCGATTTTGCTGCGGAGTTCGTGCCGGAGCGGAGCGGAGATAGTGGAATTTTGGGGAGACGCGGCCGACTCGCGCAGCTGACGGCTCCGGTGGAAAGAAGGGGTAAGGCAAGTCCTAAGATGTCAGCTCAATGGCAAGAACAAGATCTGAACGATTAACAGCTACACGCTGCCAGTAATCAAATATCCTGCTGGAATAACAAGCTGGTCTAAGAAAGAAATACAGACCACAGATGTTAAGACACAGAAGCTCCTAACCATGCATGGAAGGTTCCATCTAAATCCAGCACAGAGAGTGTACACTAGCCATAAGGGAGGAGGCTGAGGACTAGTGAGTGTGACAGCCACTATCCAGGATTTTACATTTTTTTTATGAGAAAATAAAAAAAATCTGATGATTTACTAATAAAAATGTTCTTCTGAAACTGTTCAGGTAATCCAGCTCATGTCTGATGGGTTTTGTTTTTAGCTGCAGTTTCCAAAACATTCACTTCCAGAGGATGATGCTGCTTGGACGTGTTAAGCCATGTGTTACAGGTCTTTGACTGTGTGAAGAGTTTCAATATTTAAGGACGTCTTTTTAGCATCTCAGCTCAACGTACTCAATTCTTTAAGTTTTGTTCCACATTTATTCTCCGACATCAGTCATACTAGTTCTGCAACATGTTCTCATTTTTTCTGACTCTTTATTTCTCTCTGATATTCTCTCACAGTTCAAACCAACCAATCAATGCCTCTGAACCAGCTGTGTGTCATTAACTCATTAAACTCTGATTGATCAGGACCTGTCTGACAACAGATATAAAGCCTCAGTTCAACCTGTATGGTGACAGCTGGGTGTTCACAATGGTGACTGTAAAGCTCTTCTTGAGGTAGAGTTGTACTAAATTTATTAATTTTACTATCTTGTATAAGCAATATGTTTCATGTATGTTTATTTATTTAGGTTTGCTCTCTGTGCTTTGCTGATCCTTGATGTTTGTGGCTTTCCATCTAAGGGTATAGTGTTCTTAATTAAAAAAAAAAACTTATGAAATTGGAAATCTTGGAACTGTTGTCATTGATCTTTCTTCTTCACCTCAGGCTTGAAATCCCACAGCCAGAGCAGCAGTCACCCAGGTGAAGGAGATGACTTTACTCATCACAGAGGATCAGCCACTGGTCGCTATGCACCCTTGTACAGTACTTCTAGTCAAGAGGGATTCCCTGATGGTGCTTTTGTACCTGTTCAAGCAGCATACCCAGTTGGAACTATTCCAGCAGGATATGAAGCTGGAGGTCCTGGGCCCAGTCTACCAGGTATGAAGTATAGTTTGCCAAATGCTGTTTAATAAATGGTATAATTGATCTATTCTCTCCAGAAACCAAGTGGACCGTTGCTCCTAATATCTTCTCTGAGGAAGGCTTGGCCAACACCCAGACCCTTGACTCCAGCATGCTGCTCCCACAAAACCCTGCACCATCAGGACCATTCCTCCAGTCTGGGGAGACGTCCAATGTTGAGAAGGAAGCTGAACTTGGGAACTACCAGCATGAAACTGAGGAATTTGGCTACCCAGGTGCTAGCATGGGGCCTGGACCAGTCCTCCAGTCTGGGGAGACGTCCAATGTTATGAAGGAAGCTGAACTTGGGAACTACCAGCATGAAACTGAGGAATTTGGCTACCCAGATGCTAGCATGGGGCCTGGGCCAGTCCTCCAGTCTGGGGAGACTTCCAATGTTATGAAGGAAGCTGAACTTGGGAACTACCAGCATGAAACTGAGGAATTTGGCTACCCAGGTGTTAGCATGGGGCCTGGACCAGTCCTCCAGTCTGGGGAGACGTCCAATGTTATGAAGGAAGCTGAACTTGGGAACTACCAGCATGAAACTGAGGAATTTGGCTACCCAGGTGCTAGCATGGGGCCTGGACCAGTCCTCCAGTCTGGGGAGATGTCCAATGTTATGAAGGAAGCTGAACTTGGGAACTACCAGCATGAAACTGAGGAATTTGGCTACCCAAGTGCCAGCATTGGGCCTGGACAAGGACTTCCTAGTTACCCTATGCCATATGTTGGTGGAGGAGTCTTCTGGGGTAGCCCTTATCTATACCCTCTTTCCTCTCCTTACCCGTACTTTGACTACAGGCTTCTGTATGGCATGTACCCTACTGGCACCTACACCACATTTAGCAAGAGCAACGAAAAGGGAAAGGATTACTACCAGAGCATCCACTACCTGAAAGAGCATGCTCCTGAAACTCTCCCTCCTGGGCAGCAGAAGAAAATCTTCCCATAGAGCGCATACAGTAAAAAAATGACTATTGTAAGCTGCATTCTCGATTCTTGGTATGAAATGACTCTTGAATAAATATATTTACTATCTGGTAAATTGAAACTCCTTCATAAATCTGACACAATTGATCAGTCTTGAAGTATTGTGTGTGTGTGCATTGAACGGGGACCACAGATTTAATGTTTAAAGCTAAACCCATTAAAATCTATACATGTGTTTAATTAAAGATCCATTTTGACCTCAAATTGCAAGTAAATAAAATGATAAACTTTAAAACAATTTCCTGAGCGCAGCTCAAAGCTCCCTATGGAGAAGGGTAATTTCACCTGTGTGACTTGAACTTTAAAACTAGTTCTCTGTAGTGCCTCAATTAAAATCACGGGGCACAGAAACATTTTAAAGAATTAAGCATTTTAAAATTGGCAAAAGGTCAATGTAAGGAACTGGCTAATTCTGGGGAAGGTGGAATAGGTGAGCAAGGAGAGATTGGTTTGGTTATCACACGTCAAATTGCAGGTGAGTTGAGCTGCTGTTTGAAGGAGACCACTGATCTGAGGCTCAGTGGGAGAAAGTTCATCAGAGTCTGGGGGCCACAGCAGCAAATGGTCTGTCAGATACCTTCCAGGTACAGCCTCTGGGAAAAATCTGTCTTGTTCCAATACAAAAGTCAAACGTCATGGCATAAGATTTGGACCCTAGGGCAGGGGTATTTGATTCTGGACCTGGAGGGCTATATCCAGCACATTTTAGTTAACTGGCAAAACACACCTGCTTTTAATCAGCAGGTGATGTGATTCTGCAGAGCTGCTGCACAGAGGATTCAACCACTTCAAGTGTTGGCAACAGTGAAACCACAAAAACCTGTTGGATGCCAGTCCACCAGGCCCAGAATCTAATATCCCAGCTATAGGGTTTAACCACATTTTGGAACCAGATCAGGAACCTTAATGGAAGTTTGGACCACACTAATCATGTCTGCAAGATGTCACTTTGGTCAGTGCAACATGAGGCTTCAGTTAAGAGAAAATCATGTGACCATTGAGTTCCTAGAAAACCTGGATGATGTGAATGGCTCATCTCAAAATGAAAGCCATCTCAACCCATGACTCTGAATCAGTTAAGTTTTTTTCTTCAATCTTATTAAGTCTTTCATTTTAATTTGAGTTTGATGAAAAATGGCCACAGGATAACGGTAAAAAAAGACAATTATTACCCAAATTATTAAAGCACAGTGAATTGCCTCAGTATGAAATGTGCTATGTAAATAAAGCTGCCTTGCAAAAACACTGGTATGACACAGTGAATTCCCAATGCAATGCATCAGATGGAAAGTAGAGGTGTGTTCTTGGTGTGATCTGAAGAGATTTATAAGCAGAGCTAAGGAGCATTGAAGACCAAAACAACTGGACTGTTGCAGGTAGTTTGGTTAACATGTCTATGAAGTATGTGAGATCATTAAATTCATTAGTAATGGTAGTGTCATTAATTCAGTTCAATTCAATTATTTATATAGCGTCAAATCACAACAAGAGTCGTCTCAAGGCACTTCACATAACATTCCAATTCAGGACAGTTCATTAAGCCAGTCAGAAATAATGTTTCCTATATAAGGAACCCAGCACATTGCATCAAGTCACTGACTAGTGTCAGTGACTATTCAATCCAATCCAATTTTATTTATGAAGTGCATTCACAAGGCATTACAACCAAACAAGGCGCTGTACACTAAAAATGTTAGTTAATTAAACCGGCGTTATACAAACATGTCGAACACAGATAAAAGATAAAAAGGAAATACAACAAAATTCCCAAAACTAACAACTGAAAATCAATAAGACACAGGGTGAATAAAAAATTAGAAAAACATTTTAAAAAGAACCTCAATAGTACGGAAGTTGATAATTGTGAAGTCCATTTTCAAACATTGTAGTTGTGAGGTTCATGTGGTATAAGCTAGGTTGAAGTAGTGAGTTTTCATGCGTGATTTAAAAATGCTAGCTGTTGGTGCTTGCCTCACTAGCAGTGGTAATGCATTCCACAGCTTGGGTGCACAGACAGAGAAAGCCCTTTCTCCACGGCTTTTTAAACGTGCATTTGGAACAGCTAGGAGGAGCTTATCTTCAGACCTGAGAGCACGCGACGGGTTGTAGTAATGGACAAGTTCACACAGATATGGAGGAGCTTGATGGTTCAAGGATTTGTAAGTCAGAAGCATAATTTTGAAGTTTATCCTGAACTGCACGGGCAACCAGTGGAGAGATTTCAGAATTGGAGAAATGCGTTGTCTTCTGTCAGCTCCAGTCAGCAACCTAGCTGCAGAATTCTGGACCAGCTGAAGTCTAGAAAGAGCTGCTTTACTGATGCCGTATAAGCAGGAGTTAGAGTAATCCAGCCGTGAAGTGATGAAAGTGTGGACCACCGATTTCAGAAGACGGACACTCAGGATGTGCTTTAGTTTCGAGATGCGTCTTAGTTGGTAATAACATGATTTAACTGTGTTATTGACCTGGGCATCCATCTTCAGAGCCTGGTCCATTTTTACTCCAAGGTTGGAAATTACAGAGGATACATTAGGTGAGAGATAGTTGAGGTCAGGTTGATGAGTAGCCGTGGTACTGTTAGGACTGAAAACGATTAAGTCAGTTTTGGAGTCATTGAGATGGAGGAAGTTATCAGCTAGCCATTGCTTGACCTCAAGGATACAATCAGACAGAACTTTCGTTGATTGAGTTGGCTTAAATGAAAAATAGATTTGACAGTCGTCAGCGTAAAGATGGTATGAGACAGCGTGCTTTCTGAAAATGGCTCCTAAGGGCAGTATATAGAGGTTGAACAGTAACGGGCCGAGTATTGAACCTTGTGGGACACCCCAACGTAGAGACTGTGACTCGGATGAACAGCCGTCCAACATGACCCTAGCTGACTATACAGCAATCCTCATACTAAGCATTATGTTAAGTATTGTCAGTAGTGGTAATTAATGGCAGTGAGGTTGCTTTGTTTCCCAGCATCATTGGTAGAATCAATACAATAAAACAATTTGAGGGGTAAATTATGTACAAAACACAGTTTAAAACGTTTGTATCAAGCCTTTTATTCGGTATACAGATATTCTTAAATTTATACAGTATATATATATATATATTTATTTAGAGATGTATATATGTAACATGTGCCACTGCAAAACCAGAGAAACCTACGTTTGCTTTTAAGATAAATGAAATTAAATCCAATTCTTGTTTAGTGAGTTAAAAAGGTTGTAATGACTGACCTGAATGATCAAGTGAACTGAAAGAAAACAAAGTACTGGTATACTGATTTATTAATAATAATAATAATAATAATAATTTACTGTAATCAAACTGAATCTGTAACTGAGAACTACAGTGGCAGCGTGGACCCTTAGTGTCAATCTAGAGCAATTCTATACACACACACACACACACGCACACACAGAGTGCATATACATACAGACAGGAAGAAAAGTCAGTGATGAGAGCAGAAACTCTCATGTCGTTACTTTAGTCTGATACAGAACCAAAAACGTATGCACACTCTGAGTTATCAAACAATCTAGTTATCAAACAATCTTACACACACACACACACACACACACACACACACACTAACTAACTCATGCACACACACACTGCAAAGAGGATGGTTTGTTCACTGAAGAACTGAGGACCTCCGTGCATGTGCAGAAAAGAAAGGAGTGCACAGGAAGTAATTTCACAAAACTAGAAAACATTAAGTGAATACTTTTGCAAAGAAATAAAACCCAACAACAACCAAGGAGGAGAAAGTGCTGCACAAATATGTAATTTAAGATGTGTCTGTGTGCACGAGAGAGAGAGAGAGAGAGAGAGAGAGAGAGAGAGAGAGAGAGAGAGAGAGAGAGAGAGAGAGAGAAGAGAGAAAGAGAGAAAGAGGAGAAAGAGAGAAAGAGAGAGAGAGAGAGAGAGAGAGAGAGAGAGAGAGAGAGAGAGAGAGAGAGAGAGAGAGAGAGAGAGAGAGAGAGAGAGAGAGAGAAAACACAGGTGTATTCATTTAAGAGGAGCAGGTAGTGTTGGATGTGTTTGACAAAGAACAGGAAGTGCTTGGTTCCCTCTTGTGGTCATTCTGAGTCTCTCTGCACCTCTGAGGCATCTGCCCGACAGATGGGACATGTCCTGTTAGCCTGAGGATGGACAGAAGACCACACAATCAGTTTCAGCAGCTAAGAATGCTAAATCCAAAACAAAAGCAAGATCATAAACTGTTTTTTTAATGATCATGACCTGGTTCACGGACCTGGTGCTTTGGTGGCCCTTACCCCAGTGGAATGTGGTGTAGTCTTTGTGGTGAAATTTTACAATATCTGAACACATTTCCAGCAGAATTACATTCTTACCACACTTGACAGTTAGGAGAAAGAATAAAATCAGCTTTCTCTTCATTACGTTAATTTCAAAACACTGCTCAAGAGTTTCCAATACAAAAATTAAATATTTCAGTCAAATCACAAAATTAAGTGTTCCTCTAACACTCCCAGGGGTGGACCTTTAAAGCGCCTGAGCGCCAATGGCGCTAAATTTTCTCGCCGGGCGGTAAATACTTGACGACTTACCGCCTGGGTGGCGCCCAAGCTTTATTTGTCATTTACACACCGGCTTTTACCTACATCATGGCCCCGCCCTGTAGGAAGCTGCCGTTTTCGTTTCGCGCGCGGGAACCTGCGCGCCTCTAGCCACGTACTGCACTTGTACGATTCGTGCACGTACTGCACGATTCTAGTTATAGTCACGTGAACTATAAGTTCACTATTAAAGACGAAGTGGAACCACGCTAGAAACACACAAGCACGCAGGAAGATCACGCCACCACAGGGATGGGATTTCTTGATGAAATCTCCGGCAAAACGCTTTAAAACTGGTGAGGAGAAGCGAGACAGTTCGAAATGGTATGAAGCAAAGAAGCGTGTGCGTAGGTGGAATGATTCTTGGCAGTTTAAAGAAGACGGGAGGCGCGGAGAATGGCCGTATTTGAGTTGAGTAGCGGCTCGCCTGGAAAACAGACGGAAGCAGCAGGGGGAGTGGCTGAAAGCCGGCGTTTAACGCCGGGGACACACCGGCCGCGGAAGCGCCCGAAGCGAATCGCTCACGAAGTCCAGCCGTTGCTCGCCGCTCCTCAGTTCAGATCAGACGCGCCCCATTCGAGGCGCGCCTCGGCTCAGCTGTAGTTTTTCTTTTAATTACTTGGTGTCCTCCATTTCCTCAGCTCTTTTCCTCTACGTGTGTGTGTGTGTGTGTGAGTGAGTGAGTGAGTGAGTGAGTGAGTGAGTGAGTGAGTGAGTGAGTGAGTGAGTGAGTGAGTGAGTGAGTGAGTGAGTGAGTGAGTGAGTGAGTGAGTGAGTGAGAGAGAGAGAGAGAGAGAGAGAGAGAGAGAGAGAGAGAGAGAGAGAGAGAGAGAGAGAGAGAGAGAGAGAGAGAGAGAGAGAGAGAGAGAGAGAGAGAGAGAGAGAGAGAGAGAGAGAGAGAGAGAGAGAGAGAGAGAGAGAGAGAGAGAGAGAGAGAGAGAATGAATGGTGAGAGAGAGAGAGAGAGAGAATGAATGGTGAGAGAGAGAGAGAGAATGGTGAGAGAGAGAGAGAGAGAGAGAATGAATGGTGAGAGAGAGAGAGAGAGAGAGAGAGAGAATGGTGAGAGAGAGAGAGAGAGAGAGAGAGAGAGAATGAATGGTGAGAGAGAGAGAATGGTGTGAACCAGTTGTTTCTGCCAGTTGAATCTCTTGGACTTCCCTGCATGTGTAGCTCGCGGGTGACGATGGATGACGATATCGCGTTAGCATTCACATTTCAATTTTAATTCTGGTGCCTGTTAGCAGCTGAAACACATCCTCACGTGCTTGTGGATATCATATATTCTATATGAAAACATGACTGTAATAATAAGTAAAGGTTAGCAGCTGTTCAGTGTGCTCATAGGAAATGTGACAAAAGAACACAAAACACATTTCTCCTTATGGCCTATATTGTTGTTATCATCAACGTAATGTGATTTACAGAATACATGTGAACAACTAACATTTCATGTTCTACCACCGGATGTTTGGATCAAAATGTGAAGCAATCAGATCTTAGATCAGGTGAGAGCCAGGCGTTTCCCATCATCCTCTATGTTTTGCAGCTGAGGGAGAGCAACTGCAGCGCCTTGCTCCAAAATCTGCGGCCGCCTTGATCTCACGAGGTTATCGTTGCCTACGTATGCATGACGTCAGAGCAAGTCGGCGTCAATTCGGACACAAATCTAACCGGCATGCACTGCTCGCCGATCACTGCTGGTCTAATCTGCGCAGAAATGGCTCATCTCGAACACAGCCAATGGCTCGAATACAGCAAAGCGGCATTGGTGATGTACTGCGTTGTATGCCGGAAGTATGCGACGACAAAATCGTGTTTTGTTGAGGGAACAAACAAATTCAAACTTGAATACGTTATTATGTTTGTGAATGTGTACAAAATAAAGGTTTATTACATTTAAAATGGTTCAGTTGTTATTTTGACTCGTTTTGGCAGCTGACCAGCGGGGCCGGTAGATTCTTGGCGGGGCCGGTAAATATTCAGACTTACCGGCCCGGCTGGCCAGTTGGTTTTGAAGTTAATGTCCACCCCTGACTCCAGTGATGAACTCCATTCAAATGATCAACACGACCACACAACACACTACAGGAGCACATTTCAACAGAAATTCTCATACGATACTGAATGTGTGACAAACAGGTGTTCGGGGTTATTTAAGACGAAGTGGGAGTCTGATCTCCATGTTGTGTTCACCCACCCTCAGCCACTTGTCGACACACTTTCCGTGGAACTCGTGGCTGCAGGGGAGCACTCGCAGCAGTTGACGGGACTCAAAATCACTCATGCACACCACACACCTGAAGACAAAGGTGTGTTAAGAGTCATGTGGGGTTAAACAAAAACCCTATTGTGTAAAACCCCTTTTTACATGACAAACCAGACATCCAGCCTGACCTGTAACAGAGTTTGACACATTTTAGGAAAAATATTTAAAGTATATTTGTTTAGTACATAAAGTTTAATGAGTAAAAGAAAGTGAAGTTGCTTTAAGCTCAGCTTGTGAAGATCAGGACTAATTTTTAACACATAATTCTTGTGTTTCAGCAAGTGCAGATGCTGCACATAACTTACAGTGTTTGTTCAGACTGGTGGTTATTTGGATTGAATCGATAGGAAGGAAGCTGCTCTATGTCTCCCTTGGTCAGTCCTCGGAGTTTGGCCTCTCCTAGACGCTCGGCGAGATTCAGGAGGGCCTTTGAGAGGAAAAGAGGAAATGTCACCATCGCCATAACAATGAAAAGAGGATTTCCACCGAGCGCATAAACAAACCTCATAGTTCTCCACCTCTCCATCATCTACATCCAGCTCTAAGCTGATGGCAGGACCGGTGGGCTGGACTGGCAGCATTGATCTTTAAAAACAGAAAAAAATCCCAGAAAATCTCACCCAGGATCAAATCTCTGCTAAAACCTTCCTTCATAAAACAAAAATCCTTTTCCTTGAGTGAGTTTCCAGGTCTGCTTACAGGAAGTAAGGCAAGAGGCTGGGGTGGTAAGGCGAGGGTGGAAGCTGTTGCGAACGGTAACGTCGTCCTGGGAGGCGTCGAGGAAAAAAGTTTGGATAGGACTGTGGGAAGAGTCGATGATGCGTGTGTCAGAGTAACTTCACAGGAACAGAAATTTACAGCAGTGTGCAAATGTTTTAAACCACTCCATTTTCTCTTAAGCTTTCCTACAAGAATTTGTTGTAATGTTTTACAGTAGATCAGTAGTTCTCAGGATTTCTGAGCGGGTTTAAATGTAATTACAGTCCTTGTACCTGCCATAACAGCATAACGTTGGGTTTGCTTAAATAAATGAAAATCTGTTAAATGGACAAAAGAAGACGTTATGTGGAATGAACCTCAGTTACATCTGCACTGTTTAAAAATGGACTCCACAATTATCGACTTCCTTACTATTGAGGTTCTTTTTTAAAATGTTTTTATAATTTTTTATTCACCCTGTGTCTTATTGATTTTTAGCTGTTATTTTTGGGAATTGTGTTGCATTTCCTTTTTATCTTTTATCTGTGTTCGGCATGTTTGTATAACGCCGGTTTAATTAACTAACATTTTTAGTGTACAGCGCCTTGTTTGGTTGTAATGCCTTGTGAATGCGCTTTATAAATAAAATTGGATTGGATTGGAGGAATAAAACCTATCCCTATCAGAAAAAATACAGAATCTGATGTTTTAATGAAAGTGGGAAAGTAATCCTACAGAGCGAAGCATCCTCCTTCAGTGGATCGTCTTAACGTATGTAAGAATTTACGATAAAAGCTCTCGGATTACCACGTTGGTGCCAAAATACTACTTTGTGTGTCAAACAGTTATTTTACCAGTACTTTTACTTTGTCATATATAGTCTTAAGCGTGTCTCACCGTGATATTACTGCTGGGGACTGGTTGGGAGACATAAAATTTAATTATGCAAATTTTCTAGCAAAATTTCTAAGTTTCTCAATTGTTCAAGTTTAATCACAAACTTCTTCCAGAGTTTTTGGAAACTACGTTGAGATGGATATGAAACGGGTTTCTGGCAGGAAACTGAATCCTCAGGAACCTTTGGTGAACATTTTAAAAATATAGCTAAAAGTTGCAGCCCAGATTAATCCTTGCTTTAATTTAGTCTGATTTTATGCCAAGTTGTTCATTACATGTTGACACAACATTGGTTCATCTCGTGAGTTCAGGAGGCTTTTGGTTTATTCCTGATGACTTGATTTATAAGTCAGAAGTAAATGGTTTGACAAACAAAAATAATTTTTCTGGAAATATTCAGGTTTTGGACTGAAACGGAGTGAAAAAAAGGCTAAGGTCCAAATTTAAATTTCAAGAAACTTATAGAAATGCTCAAGAAATTCCAACCAAAACCCACAATAAAAGATTACAAAAACCCGCAGCAGCTTGGAAGATGCATTTAAAGACATGAGCACTGACGCTATATTTTTTCATGGTTCCATTTATAGTTGAATCCATTTCTTCTCCATGCTTACCACTCCAAAGATCTCCTGTGGCAGAGGATCATGGGAGAGGAAGTGGAGCTGTGTGGAGTGGGGGGTGAGGGCAGGGTGGGCAGCAGGAGAATAATGGAGACCAGCACCCAGAGACAAGTGCTCTCCTAGCAGCTCCACGTCATTCTCTATTCTCTGTAAAGGCTACAGAGGCAGGAGAGAAGAATCACAACTCTAGGTTACAACGTACAAATACACAGAACTTTACCGAAATCTCAATTAAATGACCTGAGATGCTATTCAGGTTAATTTAGAAGTATAAAATTAAATAACATTTTGTACTGGTCAACGGCAACATATCTGCAGAGCCGTGTAAGCAGCAAACTGCAGATTAGTGAGGAGTAAGAAATCACACACCCTGAAATTTTGCAACTAATCTAATCACCTAAAAGCTTATTGGAAGAGAAGATTAATTACCAAATAACATTGCTAACATCATTTCTCCACTCAATTTCACTGGTTTTATTAAAGAAATAAGCAGATCCTGCAATTGTGTAGATGTCACAAAAGCACCAGATGTAATGTGTGTGTGTGTGTGTGTGTGTGTGTGTGTGTGTGTGTGTGTGTGTGTGTGTGTGTGTGTGTGTGTGTGTGTGTGTGTGTGTGTGTGTGTAAATTACATGAAATAAAAAGTTTTATTAAAATTAAATTAAAAAAATGAACATAAACAATTAAATTAAATTTAAAAATGTCAAATTTCATAACTTTTTTTAAATAAATGAAAAATAAAATGAAATAGAGACCAGCTGATGAACTCAGTCAAGTGGATAATTAAATCTTCATTACTAAACCTGAAACATTGATATTTGACACTCGCTGAAGGATCCTTTCTGCTCACCGATCGCGCCTGCTGGGCTGGATAGGGTCCAAACTGAGCAGGCTGCGGCAGGTGAGGTGGATGATGGGAAAGGTGTGTGGGAGGATGGGCAAGGTGAGGAGGGGGAATTAAGAAGGCCGAGTCACTGGACAACAGTGACGGGAATGGGTAGGGCACGGGCAGATGCTGAACAGAGCAGGTCTGAAGGACCTAAGAGACAAACACAAAAAAAAAGACATTTTCTGAGATGAAAAAAAAATAACCAAGAATTTTTAAATAATCCTTTAAAGGTCTTTTGAGGAACCCTACAGAGTAGGTAATATGTCATCAAGAAACACAAATCACTCACAGAAGGAGGAACGCTGCAGACGGGATAGTGCTGGCCGCTGAAAACCACCGAGCATGCTGGGATCTGCTGCGGGGCTGAGCGGGGGGGCAGGCTTGTTGGTGCTCCTGGTGGAGACACGGGATACGATCCTGGAGCAGAACCCTGAACACAGACACCAAGATTATGATTTAAACTCTCGTTCTTATAAAAACTCCTCCATTTGCTGCGGATTCTGCAGATATGATGCCCAGAGGCAGAAGTCCATCACATGAGTTCACTTAGCTACACCACATCTTAACTTAGGAGTCAGACAGATCTACATCCCTTCACCTGGAAAGATCTGCAGAACATTAAAAGTATTCAACTGAACTTCAATGTTTAAAAAAAATCTACACTCAAAAATTATGTTTTGCCCAAGTTTGTAGAAATGAATTTAATATGTGCTTTGTAATCTGTCTTGGCAATTGAACAAATTCATCAGAACTTCTCAATGTTAAATATTCCTCTCTGCATAGAGCTCACCACACAAGTTAAAGTCCCATTAGTCATCACACCCTGGTGAAATTCACCTCTGCATTTGACCCATCCCTATAGGGAGAGGTGAGCTGCAGATGTGACCGTGCTCGAGAACTATTTGGCCCCCGCCTGGTGCATTTACAGACATTTAAAAAACCTTTAAAGAGCAAATTGCAGGTTAAATTTTTTTCTAACTTAAATAAAGTGCTGTCCAAAAATACTATTTGAAATGCTTATTGTTGATATTTCATTTAAAAATACATAACTGAGTTTTTCTAGTAAAAGGTGGCCTTTCTCAGCAAAGCTTCTAAAAAAGCTCTTTTTTTAATAAATCTCAACTTCTCATGTAACCAAAGGGAGTTGGAAGCTAGGCGCTGCCTCAGCTCAGTGTGGAGAGTGGGTAGTTTTAGGGTGCAGAGGTCATGTTATCCAGTCAGTGTGTGTGTTTATTAGGTTGGATTGTGTACAGTTTGATAAACTGTTGTTTGTGAAGGCTGTACCAACTCCAGCCTGTCTGGACATCGAGTCCATGGGTTTCCGCCTCTATCTCCGTGCCTGAAGGCATTTTGTGCAGCTGAAAAGACGGGACTTCTGCAACCCACATCGGTCAGTACCGGGACAGGGAGGTCCACGCTGGGCTCCAGAATCCCATGGTGGGTTTTAAAAAATTAAATGTGGATTTCTGAAGCTCAGATCACCGTCAGAACCGACCACCAGAAGACACTCGCAGCTCAGCGGGGCAGTCGAGCTGGTTTCTGGGTCGGAACCGGATCAGAGCCGCCGCAGACCTGCAGGAGAGGATCATGCATGGCTTTTAAAAATACCAGCTCGACTGGCTCGCTGGTGTCTGGTAGGATCCAGCTCACAGAAGCCCGCATGAGCTCCAGAACCGGATCTCTCTCCCTCTCTCGAAGCGCTAAACTATGTTAAGTGAACGGATATTAACGAGTACGAGACAGCTGACAGACGCTCATTAGTTTATTATTGTCAAGTATTAATATTATATTAACTGACCAATACTATTTTAATTGTCTGGTACACAATAGTAATCTGTACAATATTGTGATGTTAGCACACGAGTTTAAGCTCGCATTGTTACTCACCTGCTGCTCCCCCGCTGCTTTTCCTCACATCGCAGCACAATCTCTCTGCTTTGGCCGATTTTCCCCCCTCTGATTTGTCTCTGCTCTCTGGGGCATGCAGCAAACTCATAACTTTATGGTTTTGGTCCATCATAGGATTGGACGATTTGTATAATTTTTCTGGGTTTCTTTTATTCGTTTGAGTAGAAAATGGAATGAATCGCTGCTGCGTTTGGACGCACTCCGAGGAGGCAGCATTTGTTCGAAGTCAGAGGTCACATGATCCATTAATCCCCTTCGCTTTCATTTTTAAAACAGCCATTCAATACCATTGCATTTTCATTCATTTTAATAAATTTTTAGTCCAAACAAGCTGAACCGAGTGCCTCAGTAAGTAACAAACAATGTAATTCAACAATTTCACTTAAATTAGGAACATTTCACCTGCTGAGACCCCAACGCACTTTCCTTCTGCCCCGCGTAAACCTGAACTGGTCACCTGCAGCTTATGCTTAATCAAATGTCTGTAGGGAGCTTGCTGAAGAGGTTATGAAGTTCTGGATTTTTGCACATGACAGTCTAATGGATGTTTAAATGTTCTGGATGGATCCACGCTCTGCTGACACACTCGAAGCGGGTGCTGAAAAACGAGTGCTACTTCAGTCAAGTTTTAAATCAGGAAAATTTTCTCCAAATGAAAAATAGAAGGGTTTCCACTTTCCACTCAATGCTGTGCTGTTGTGCGCAATCTCGAGCACGCCACAGATGCTCTCAGAGTATGGAGAGTGATTTCCGCCTCCATAATCCGAGCTCCTCCTCACCGCACCGCTTGCGTCACTGTCAGCAGCGAGAGGCGAAGGAGGTGAGAAAATGCTAAGATGCGCTGATGGAGATCTTTTCTTGATTGTTACCTCCACAATGTTCTCTGTGCGCAACGTGTAAAATATTTGTCATTAACAAACTAACTCAGGGGTAAACAAATAAACAAACAAATCACCTCCTGTAAAAATACAACCTTAACGGTTCAGCCCATCACCGATGGTCGATTCATTCATCCCATCGACCAACCCTGTTCCACCATAAGTATAATTACAAACATTTAAAGTTTCTTCTGTGTCAGAGACAGCATTAGAACCCATATTTTTCTCTGGATTAGGCTAACAGGTGTAACGTCATGAAGGAGCTGTTCCACGAAGGTTATTTACCCTCTCTCTCCTCAGGAAGAACTAATCTGCATGAGACTGCCTCATTTGCTTCTAAACTGTTTCTTCCTTTCCAGCTCAAGAGAAGAATGAAGACAAAGGACTCTTTCTTTTAATAAATCAGAAGAACTCTATTTTTAATAAAGCTATTCAAACAAAGTGTTAGTCCAATAATAAAATGTGAACCAGTCTGTGAAATGACAATGTTATGATCAGTAGTTTTTAATAGGTAATATAACTTTAAACTAGCCACACTAGACATTCTCATCCACGTAAGGTTAAGTCACATGACACATTTCCTTTTTCTGATCCAATAAGAACCTTCAAGATCTGACGCGAGGCGTGGTTTTGTTGGTGCTTGGTAAATCTGTCCTTTTTTTGATTTGACCGTAAATCAAAACATCCAAATTATAAAACTACGCCCACGTCATCTTAACTTCAGTTCAAAGTGTTCTAGAGAAGTTGTTGGAGTGGCCAATCCGTAACTTTCCTCTTCAGCTGAAAGAACCTAACGACAAGCTGAATTAAATCTGTTGCATGTTCCACCTGCTGCAACGGTTCCTTTCAGAATAAAAGCTGAACCATCACGACCCCTTTTTGGGTCTTACTAGATGCCAATAAAACTGTTGTGACCTGGAAGTATCTCAAGACTGGTCTGGTCGGCATCCGCTGCTTTTCTACTGGCTTCGGTGCCAGAGGTGGTCAAGCTGGACCTCGACATTCCTGATCTAACGGAGACTTCCGCCAAGGGTGCATAGGTCAGCAGAATGGCGTCTCAATGTGTGTTAGAAATCTCCAAACCAAAGCTTAGCACGAACCATTATCTTCACTCCCATCAGAACTAATCGTTTCTCCAGATTTGCTGGTTCTGAACAACATTCCACACACCATCCATCTTGCCTCATTCACACCAAGATCCATTCATCACACAGAGTGTTTAGTGTTTAAAGTTAGTCTAGTTTTAATTTGTTTAGTAATAAATCTTTAAACTTTTAAACTTGACTTTTTCTTTTGTCTCTGAGTTAATACGAAGTGGTTACATAATCCCTGCAATAAAAAGTTCCAATCTTCTGGTTTAAGTTATCCAAAAGGTCCATAAGACTGATTTCATATTTCCTATGGAATGTCACATTTTATGGTTCATTAAATAATATGTAAATTTAATCGTTACACAGGACTCCATTTGCTGACATCACTTGGTTTGGCAAAAAAAGTAAAAATGAATAAACATTTTCTCATAAAAATGACTCTAAAAGCCTAAATAATTCATGTATGTGTAAAAAATATGTTTAAAACGAGTTTCTATTATGTTTCCCCAACATTGGTTCATGGGAGTCTCTAACCTGCAACTTGCCCTTTATAGCTGATTGTCAAGCAGGGATGCATTGCGTCCCTTTTTTCTAAGGTCTTTGACGTGACCCGACCAGGATTTGAACTCTGCTCTCCCAGTCCCAGGGCGGACACTACCACTAGGCCACTGAGACTGAGGCCTACATTATCAAATTTAATCTAAACTATTAACTATTTTTCCTTAAAAAGAGGAAAAATATATTTTCAAAATTAAAAATCACATTGGATTAAAATTATAGCGAAGTTTCTACAAGACTACAGACAAAGAACTGCTAGACCTCCTCTAGTGAAACATCGACCAGAACCTACATAAAGACAACTGTCCAACAAATCTTATAATGGGAGCTTTTCTGAAAACTTGTGTTCATTTTTAACCATATAACCTCATTTTCTACACTTCTCATTAGTGAGGAAAAATACAATCTACCTGGTCTTGGATGTCAAGGACACCCCCGCTCTGTTGCTGGGACGGGTGGGGGTATTGGTGCTGTGGATGAGCCCCAGGGTGCAGAAGCCTGGGAGACAGGTTTGGTGACTGGTGAACAGGTCTAGGTGAGGGATTTGGGGGGTGGTAACCTGGACGCTCTTCAGGGCCAGACCCCAGCCCTCGAGGGGGCAGCTGGCTGTAAGGGAGGTAACCCTGTGGAGGAGTTGGGTGTCGGTAGTTCTCATCCTGATGGCCTGAAGATGAGCCATGGTGGGGGTGAGGGTGGTGGTGATGTTGGTGGCCTGTGGGGGGATGGTGAAGGTGGTGGTTGTTGTTGCTGTTGTAGTGGTGGTGGTGGCGGGTCAGACGGTCTCTTCGGCCACGCTGGCGTCTCATTGGAGGACTGAGGTGAAAGAAAGAATATAAAACTAAAGGAAGGGCTAAAAGGGTAATGTTGACATAAACCGCAATATACAGGAACTTTTCTTTACTGCGAGTTTCTTTCGATAAATTAACCCATAAAGGCACAATTGGCAGTTTTGCTTGCAGTTAGCACCCCCGAGTGTCCATTATCAATTATCTGTGGTCAAACTGAAAGCAAAATCTTGATGTGCATTCGTCTTTTTAACACCTTAATCTAACAGCTGAAACGTCTCCCAGCCTTCCTTAGTGTCTACAGGAGTGATTCATCATGAAATTAAACAAATCAGCTGTGTTCATGACCTAAAACATGCAGGAAATGTGCTGGAAGAAGCAGACTGCAGCACCAGGTATGTCAGCTCAAGTCCCAACAGAGCAGCCCACCAGGCTGAAGTTGCAAATGGAATATTCTGGCCACAGGGGGCGATGGAGGGCTGGGTGGCCTTTCATTAACCCTGTAAAGGGTTATTTTAGCACATATTGGCTTAAGAAAATTATTTAAAAATATAAAAAGATTGCAAAGTATGGCTTTAAAAGGGATACTATGAAGTGTGTTTCTGGGTAAAAATGACCATCTTCACTGTTGTAGTTTCCTGATTGGTACATTCTACAGGACTAACAAGCTAACAGCAAGTCTGAACACAACCAGGACCAAACAGAAATACAGTATTTTCACGACCATAAGGCGCACCTAAAAGTCTTAAATTTTCTCCAAAATGTACACCGCGCCCTATGGTGCGGTGTGCCTATTGTGTTGTTGTGCGACGCGAACGTAGTAGAAGACAAGGGGCGTGGCGTGAACGTGCGGACGTGAGCGAAGACAGACCTGTGGATTTCCCACATCGTCATCAACATCCTCGCCGTTTGACTCTGACTACGGCTGTGAGTCTCCGCCAACTTCCTCTGCTTCCAGTTCAAATAACAGCCGTACTATCTGAACTGCCTGGTGGACATTTATCCATCTCATCATCCTTTATATAAGCCTAATAAAAGCCTACTAAACTGCAGAGACAATATATCTGTCCGGATCGCTCCAAAATATGAAGTTTACCGTCAATATCTGTCTAATTGTTTGTTGTTACGCCGTTTGCGACACTCTTTTCCCCGCGAAGCGGCTCCTTTTTGCGCACAACTCGTTACTCGTGCAGCCTTCCTCTCTCTCTCGGCTACATGATGATACTTTTTATCAATTGAATATGTGAGACTTCCACCAACAGCAAAAGGATCTCATGTTTTGTGGGTTTTTTATGTTCACAAGCACATTCCCTCTCACGGATTACTAAACTGCTGTTTTGACAAGTTGTCAGATTGTCTAAAAATAGGTCGTTTTTTAGTTTAGTATAATGGGCTCGACACACGGGAGGCGACATCGCCTCTCCTCCATTCATTTTCAATGAGACATGCGCGCTGCTGCGGATCGCCTCCTGTGTGTCAGGTAATAAAAGCGACAGCGACAAATTTCACTGATCGCGGTCTTTTGTCGCCTCCCGTGTGTCAAGCCCACAACTCCGCTTTTACGTTGCCTATTAACAAAATTTAAAAACTGGGGTGTAGTTTATAATCTCCTTTTTAAAGCTGAATCGAAACCGAAACTCAGGGAGGCGGAGTCTTGCTGCTACAGCATCCCAAGTCAGACCTGTTCAAAAGACGCGGATACACGTCCATGGACCCCAGAGGGTCAATAAAACACAATTCAAATCACACTATTTTCTTAGGCCTATTAATAACACACATATGATTTTGTTCATGTGGAAAGTTTATGTGGATTAATCCAACAACTACCGGTAAACACATTCTGAACTTCAACACAGCGCATCAGCGCTTGAAGCGATGCTGCGAGCAGCTGCGACCCAAAAAGTACCAGAACCGCTCTCAGTGCATGTGCAATCATGCATCAACACTGCTCACCCGCTATTTCCCTAATAACTCACGCTGTTCGTTTTTATTTCTACACGTTTTTTTACTCACAAAGATTGTCAAGAAAGCGTGTTTGTCGTGTTCATTTCAAATTAAACTGATCACAAAACACAGATTTACTTTCTTTATTTCGTTTTCCTCATCCAACCCCCATAAATCCCTGTGTGTCCTCCTGCAGCACTCCCGGTGTAAGCCCGGGTTTAGTAGGAGGGAGACCTGTGATTATCGCTTTGTCACACATGTCTCATTGAAAATGAATGGAGGAGAGGCGAAGTTGCCTCCCGTGTGTCGAGCCCATTAGAAGAGCACGAGCCGTCAGCGCACGCAATGAGGAAGTGCACGTGCGCTCTAAACCAGGTCTGAACCAGGACTAGACCAGTAAAGTGAAGCATGCTTTTGGGTGTTTATAATTTATAATTTTCACAATGTCTGGTTTGCACTGATATGTTCCGAGTCCCAAGCCCGCACAGATGTTTTGCCGTGCCCCCGCCCTATAACCGGTGCGCCTTTTGTCTAAAAAGACACCGGTAACTGAAGTTGCGCCCTATAACACGATGCACCCTATGGTCGTGAAAATACGGTACTTCGGTAGAAACCTTTAAACCTGCAGTCATTTATCATTGCATATCGGTCAACATGGTACTGTGTAGTTCTTTACGAATATGAATCACAACAGCAACCACAGCAATTATTTCTGGTGCATCTAGGAGTCACACCAAGGCAGAAATACTTCCACCAAAAACTGACTAATCTGTAAAGGCTTTAAAAAAACACATTACCTTAAACTGCTGTGAATTTTTTGGGACTGAAACCATTTTAAAATGGCTCCAAACAGAACATGTTCAGTATAACAATCAATATGCGAGAAGGTTGTTCTCATTTTTACACACAAATGTTCGAAATATCCTAAAGGCAAAGAACTACATGTAAGTACACAAAAATGCTACAATAACAATTTTTATTTTAAAAACTGCGTGTTTTTGGAGAAAGAAGTTTGATTGGTTTTTGAGTTTGTTTCATTATCAGAGCCCAACAAGTATGGCAATTTAGAATAAAACGCTACATAAAAAGGACCTTATATGATAAAACTGATCATTATCATGCCAAAAAAAATCTTTAATTCTTGCTACAGTTTTGCTCGTATTTTAATTTGGCTGAAATAATTTCCTCACCCTATAATGAAAACAATGAGATTATTCATTAATCTTGAGTATGTGTCTACTAGGCATACCTGCGGCGGTTTCTGGCAGGTGTGTGGCACCTCTCTGGCATGTAGAGGGGGTGTGGTCTGCGATTAGGAGGCAGCTCCCACGGGCGAATAGGAGAGGATGGAGTAGAGGGAGGGGCGGAGCTTAAATCTATCATAGACTGCTGAGAAAGACGCTGCCGCTTCGGGCTCGGGCTGTCCTCCATCTATATAAAAAAAAGTCACCAATGAAACACAGTCTATTCAAACCAGGAGAGCGAACAGAGAGTCTTTCATCCTTACTTTGTCTCGATCCTCACTGCACACATTGTCTGGATGAAAATGCAGCAGTCCTCCTGCAGAACAGAGAATTAAAAAAAACAGAGCTGAGAAAAGCATCTACATCACAACACACAGGCATTTGTTTCTTAAGCCAACAAAAACAACACAAACGCAGGTTGCTGGTTGACTCTGATTTTATCTCCCACTTTAAAAATCACCCTGAGTGCCAAAAACACCCTGTTATCTTGATGAAGCCTTGCTGATTGGTTTGAAAACTTGAACAAGCTTGATGGCAGAAACAAAACATGCACCTGACAACATATTCAACTCCGGTTCTGAGCCCACAGAAAAGCTTTCCTTCTAAATCAGAATCTTACTGCTTTAAAAACGAGGTGGACAAGAAAAGCAGCAATCTCTGGAAGATGTCACCATCGTAGCAGGCATATCGCTTCCTCTGATCTAACATGAAAAGCCTGTTAGCAGGCACAGACGTCAGCCATGAAGCATGTCCAGAGCATCTCGCCGGCTTTGCATGCTTTTTGTTTCTTTGTTTAGAAGCACCACGTCTCCAGCTACTGCTCACAGCCAGAGACCTTTGACAAAGTTAACGCTGCACCATCTGGGAACAAAATGAGCAGAGAAAAAAGTCCTAATCTCATTTTGCAACTTGTATTAGCTTCTGAGATCAGAGAGTACACTTTGGTTTATAGTGAATCTATTTCAGTTTGGACTTTGTCAGAATAAAAAAAGACAAACGGTGGATCATGTGACAAGCATAATAACACAAATCATTAGTCCTGTTACAATGAAAAACAAATATCATATATTTGTAGTCTAATAATATCCTATTAACTGGAGTGGCCAAACTGTGTCATGACTGCAAAATGAGCTGTTGGAAAGAACAAAAGAGCACAAATCCACAAGGCTGAAGCGCCCCTGAAGAAAAACAAAAGACCACTTTTCACACTGCAAGGACCAATCAGATCTGTTTCCTTAACTAGTTTTCTATTTACTTGCTGGAGTACAAGTGAAGGGCATATTCAGATTGTTTTATACCATTAAACCAACAGAAGATGTCTCAGAGAGTGAAACGTTCAAAAAGTCCAAGATAACAATCAAGAAGAAAGCCATTCACATCATTTCAGAGACATGGAGCCCTTCCATCGGCTTATTTGACAGTCCACATGTGCAGTCTAGATGCAACATGTGCACACAAACACACACTTCCAAGTCCTCATTCCAGCCTTCAGAAAGATAAAGAAATGATTTAATCACCAAAAAGAGAACAAATATTTATTCTCTCAAGTCTCTTGTTTCTTCTTCTGTGCCTCACAATCCAAAGCCTGTCTGCCTCCTCGGGAACAACAGATCTGAAAGAGTCTGCATCCCTTCCTTATTAATGCAATGTTACTCCAGAGCCACGTAAAGTCCTACTCCAGTGACGGCTCAGATGACCCGACAGTGCCTGTGGAAAATGGAAAGATGAGCAGTTAGGCTAAAAACCCAACAGCAGGACCAAGTCATCAGCTTTATTCATCTTACTACATGTTTTTTAACCCCCACTTGGGCCTGATTTGTGATCCTCACACACCCATGTGTTTTTGAAAAACTAGGTCTGGTAAAGCCTGCAATGGACTGGCTCTCCTGTTCAGGGTGTACCCCGCCTGATTGCCCATTGACCGCTGGGTTTAGGCACCCCCCTCCCCCCCTCCTCCCTCCCTTTGAGCCAGAATGGAAGGGTTTTGTTGGCGAGCAGACATGACCTTATTTCCTACAAGCACAGTTGCTAAGGAAGACTGACGCCATTTGTTTCTCAACAGACAATCAAGAGAGGCTTGGTGGCCAACTGTGAGCATATGCCATCATCAGGCAGAAATTTGTCCATGGCCCATTTTAAGCCAAGATACAAGATGAAACAATATTAAAAGAAGAAAAAGTTACACGTACACCCAAGACACCCCAGTTCTATTAAAAAGAAAAGAAAACCAATGCCTACACCCGCTGCTGCCAATATGGGTTAGGGGTTGTTCTAACTCCTGTTTGTCTGGACGTCATGTTCATCGATTTCCACAACTGAAAATTGGTATGACAAGCATAGAGATGAAATCATATAAATACAGAGGTGACCTGGGCAGGGGCTTTCTATTGGTCGCCATCTTGGATAGGTCAGCAGTCACCCCCAACACATTGATTGGGCTAGAAAAATCAATAGTATTTCCACATAATCTGTTTTCAATAGTACGCCAGTTGTTGGAACGATAGACCACACAAAAACAGGTATGTTGCTCACTCAGTGTTGACTCTGATTAGGTTTTGGAGTGAGGGACCCATCCAATATGGTGGTGATGGGGTTACACTCCAGTGTTAAACGTCGCCTCTACATATTTCGTTTCCTCTCGTTCCCACCTCTTGTGGCCACTAGCCGTTTGTTTCATAAAAACAGTACATTCATACTGATTTCAAAAGTAAACTTTCTTTTTCTTAAGTAGACCCACTTTTTATTCTGATTACTGTTTGAATTTGGGACTATTTTATTTTGAGCATGAGAAAGTAGTAAAGCAGCTCTCACGTGAATGTTTTAATGCCATGCTCGCATTTAGTAAACAGGAAGCCAACATAGCGGCGTAATCAGAGTCGGCGATTATGATTTAACTACCTTACAAACTCAAACTACAGAACAAAAATTATTTTCATGGAAACGTGTTTAATGTAATATGTCAGGGGACAAGTTTATGTTGAAATATATTTAAATAAAAAAACGCTCTTACCAGTTAGCGTTTTTAAGTGTGTGCATTTTGAAAGTCCCCACGCTTCAGCAGCTCTTCTTTCACCATTTAAATTAATCATCCCTGTTTAGCCTGATCCCATCAACTCTTGCTGCTGGCTCAAAACTGTATGGCTGTGCACCTTCAGCATTTAACATCAATGTATGTTCAGGTTCAGAACCCGGAGCTTTGTCACTTCTAGTTTCCAGCAAGAGGTGCTGTTTTTAGACGGTTGAGCTAGGAGAACCTTATTAGAACAGTCATTTTAATGAAACTATAAAATTAAGACCTGTTACAATATAGGGCTTCAAAGTGTGTATAATGTGGAAGACGCCCTTTGAGGTTGTAATAGGGTTGTTTGACAACTGCTTTTTTACCCATATAGTCTTAACTCCTAATTTCCTTTACCATATATGATGATACCAATATATGCAAGGTCTCTCCTCATATAAAAGAAAGATATACTGAATCATGAGATTAATAACATCACATATATTTCATCATTCATACTTTTACTTTAACCATTATGTGCGCAAAATATGCCAACTACTTCCATTTAAGTTTGGCCACTTGTGCCAAACAAACAAAAATATCTCAAAACCTTCACCTCAGATCTGTCATATTTCTACCAGGAGTGGGACCTGACCCTTATTTCATTAAATTAAAACATCTGTTTAAATTAATCAAAACACGCTGTTAGCGTCGAAATGAAGAGCAAGAAGGGCAGGATGAAGCGAGTGCAGGACTAAACCGGTGGTGCGTGTGCGACAAATGCGTCTCCATGGTAACCGAGAGGGAGAGTGTTTGTTGTCTAGGCTCACGTTTTTGTCAGCAGAAGTTAACGGTAAGCTATCGTGTGATCAAACTTATTCAATTATGAATTACTTTGGAGAATTTTAGCATCCAGGGCTGTTGTGTGCTTCTTAGATGAGGAGATTAGGATATTCAGTTAAACGACTTTAATCGTTTTAGCAGATATTATATATTCGGAGAACACTGTATTGCTACACTTACTGCTTGTTTTATTGACGGGAGAGGTGAATGTTCAGCTTCATCCGTGACGAGTGGCGCGTCCAATGGTTAGCTGAACGTGACAGAAGCAGCAGCTGCAGGAGCGGGTTGTCAGCTCAGGAGAGCGTCCAGCGTCTCTCATCTCTCTGAGGGCGTTTAGGCTCCTTGTGTGGGAAAATGGTCGGTAAAGCACTTAGTTTCCGCCTTCTCTTATACCCAGCTGCTCCGGTGAGCTCTTTAAGTAGTTGTGGTCGACTATAAGCCTCAAACGCATCAGGAGAAAAATGTTGGGAACACAGCTGCCGATCTTTGGGAAGTTGTGTTCGTCCACGGGCATCTTCCCACTGCTTTCTCCTCTTCTTGCCAGGGAAAGCTGTGTAAACTCACATCACTCCCCTTATTGCCCTTTGACTGGAAATTACATCCAAAAGCAGCACAATGTGGCATTTTACTTAATTATTAATATGGTGAGCATGTAAACTAACACTAGCGTCAATAGCTATTCTTCCAAGTCCAACCAATATACGTCATCGCCCCCAGAGTTCATTGCGTGCGGAAAACATGGCGTCCTACTTATGTAAAAAATTTACTAAATATTATACATTTATAAATCAACAGAAATGTTTGTGTGTTTCTTACAACATAGCTTGGTACAACAGAAAACTTGTGGCTTATTAGGGCATACACGTCCTCATAGCCGGAGTTCCTTTTAAAGGCTTATATGGGGGAAAGAGACCAGTGTGAAGTAGAAAGGAAACATTGCTACATCTCCTACATCACCATCATCCCTCCCGCAATCTCAGATCTTCTGCTTCCAACCCACTCTCTCAAACAACCACTTCAAATCACTGCACCACTGGGAACAGAGCCTTCTCCATAGCAACTCCCACCCTATGGAATTCTCTCCCCCAACATTTCCGTGTCACAGATTTACTTCAGAAATTCAAGACTGCTTAAAATGTTCAACCAAGCATTTAAACCCCATTAATTCATTTTGTTTTACTTATTTGTCCTGTTTGTTGTGTTTCCTGCTTTGTTTTCCTTATATGTAAATTTTCTTTGTTAAAAGTGCTATATAAAACATCTGTATCAATATGATTATTGTTGTTATTACTACACCAGCAGTCATCACATCAGCAAGCAATCTGGGGAAAAAACAGATGAAAATCACAACCAAGAAAGGGTGTTTCATTTCATACTGTGTGTGTGTAAATATTATTAAGTTTCAAACATCTCTTCCAGGGGTGTCAAACTCATTTTAGCTCAGAGGCCACATTGAGGGAAATCTAGTCCCAAGTGGGCCAGACCGGTAAATTTAAAAAAAAAAACTTCAGATTGTTTTCTTTGTTTTAATACAATCAATATGAAACAAGACTGGAACCTGAGCACAGTGTAGTACAAGTACAACACCTGAAGTGTACTTGAAAATTTGAAGAAGAAAAAAAAGCAATAAATTAAAAAAACGTTCCTTAGTTATTCAAAGAGCTTACAGATCACATGGCTAGATCAGTTCCATGCAGCACTTAAAAGAATATTTGACTCATTTTACTTTACATCTTTTAGCTTTCACCAGCACATCAATATCAGAAGTCACATCCTGAGTGGCAGCCAACTTCAGGATGTGATTCAAGTTCTTGTGTGAGCCTTGAGCGCAGCTTTGTTTTATTTATACTCATTACAGAGAAAACTTGCTCACACAGATAAGTTTATTTTCACTCTACATTGTAAAGTATGGAAATAAAGTTTGCACAACCATCTTGCGGGCCGGATTTAACCCGCTTGCAGGCCGAATCCGGCCCGCGGGCCGCATGTTGGACACCCCTGATCTCTTCAGATCAAGAATGCCATGAAATCTGGTATCAACTGTGGAAGAGTAGAGGGAAGTGTAAAAAAAAACTCAAATACAAATTTAACTTTGGAAAAAACACTTTGAATCTATAAAATGTTCACAAACCAACTTTAAGTAGGGGTTCCATGACAACACAGTCCTTTCTAATTCACTCAGCTAATAATCTGAGGTGTTTGCTTACTGACTTGCAGTATAGCACCTGAAAATCATATTTAAACACAATGCTGGAAAGAATTGATGCAATCAATTACAACTGAGACTCTGTGTGTGTGTGTGTGTGTGTGTGTGTGTGTGTGTGTGTGTGTGTGTGTGTGTGTGTGTGTGTTATTCTATTATTCTTGACAAACTGATGGTTAACCCTTAACCAACTGGTTTCTAGTTCAACACTTAACATACAGCTGGTCGTCTGGGTATCAGCTGGCAGTGAAAACACCAAGCCTTCTAGTTAAATGCCTGATAAGCTGCAAGTGGTGCGCCTACTTCCCTCGTGGGTGCATCCTGTGCATGTCTGTAATGATGCATCAAACTGGGCTGCTTACCGGCCCCAGTGTGTCTGTGAGCTCCATGTGCGGAGTGCCGCTGCACCCCCGCAGACAGGTAGCTCCCCTGGCCGTGCGACTGCTGCTGCTGTTGGCTCTCCGGGTAGCTCCGTCCTCCGTGGTGCGGCGCCCAGCCGGGGTTATTCTGCGGCGGATAATTCACCACTGCTCCTCCGCTGGCGCTCACTAAGTTCCCGTTGCCGATAGCGTTGCCGCCTCCATTGCTTCCAACGCTGCCGTTCATGGCAAAATGATAGAAGCCAGACCGAGACCGCGAGCGAGTCCTCGGGGGGTCCATAGCCGGAGAATCGGAGGGCGGTGGTAGATGAGTGGATGGATGGTGAGGCTGACGTCCAGGAAGCCCTCTCTGTAACCGATTCACCACGACTCTAACAAGATACCTAACAGCGTGTTTTGATGAATTTAAACAGATGATTTAATTTAATGAAATGAACGTGGAAGTAGCAGGTTCAGGGAAGCACAGCCATCAGATGCAGCACCATCTGCATCGCCTCCATCCACACTCCCTAATGCGGATTAAATCAAGCGAAAACGTTTTTATCTATTTGCACTAATAAACCTAAATATATATTTCTGAAAATCTAACTGTACGAAGACGCACAAAACAAAAATAAAATTCTACTTTTATTCTTATCTGTGATGCCCTCGTTAACAGAGCAAGTCTTTGATTCCCTTTTGTCTATTCACAGTGAGCAGTCTGCTCGTACCACAGCTAAATGAAGTCATTTACGGGCACTGGTCACACGAATACGGGTCCTGGTCGAGTTGTAAGGACCAGAGTTATACATAAATCCAATACCGCTAGCTCGTTGTCATCGAAAAACCTAAATTAAACACTTGGATCCACTAACCCAAGCAAGATGGCTAGCTGTCGAGCGATAGCAAACTAAAGAAGCCCAGTCACACTGACACTACTGGTAATAAAATATTAGTTTTAACAAATTTGTTACAAAATTATAACCAAGCTGGAACGACTAGCTCCTTTTGGCGTTGGTTTTTCTAAACAATGGCTCGTTCGTTAGCATTGTTTCAATTTTCCAGCGAGCTCGAGGCTAACAGGAAGCGAGGTCTACGGGGGAAAGCAAGTGAAAACAAGCCGACATTACAACCAAACCAACGTCATGCTAAATAAATGTTAACTTGGTAATTTGACATACCTAACAGCAGACTACCTCTACCCGTTTGAGAACCCACAGATAGCCAACTCGTCCGCGCAGCGAAGCGGACGGTATTTGTCTCATTTAAATCCCCTCTCGCATTTGCTATCGGGTGTGTTTTCTCTGGTCAGCGGGGAGTGGGGTGAAGATCAATCAATGGGAGTCTCGCGTCGCTGTCAAGTCTAAACTAATAGATGGCGGAGAACAATTCGGTTAACCAAACTCATTCTGCAACTCAACTCAAACAAGGTGGATGTTTAAAAATCTAAATATGCAAGTGACTGATCAAATTTACGTATTTATCGATGGTTACATTTTATCCCGGAGCGCTCCCATTTTGTAGGATTGATTACTTTGGTCTGATAAACATCGGGCAGCTTGCTCGCTCATTAATAATTCAGCAGCTTCAATGCTTTGAAAATCCAACTGGCTGCCTACGGCTTTCAAATGGGTGTGCTAAACATACACTGACATATACTGGTATAAATGTACATAATTCAGAGGGTGTTAGTATATGAGAATAACGATGGGATGGTGCTCTAGAACAATAGCTTTTGCTTTGCAAACCGTGCATGATATGGGGTACACATGAAATATGTGAAATTATGTGATATACATAGGTTATTTACACTTAAATACACACACACACACACACACACACACACGGAGTAATTGCTGCAGGCATAAAATGTAATATGTAGCACTGTGCTAATTATACCAGTTTAGGTATGTGATGCAAACCAGTCTTAAGCAATCAAACACAATATATCTATATTATGGCTATGTGTTTAGCAGATGCTTTTGTCCAAAGCGACTTACAGGTGATGTTAGACTCTATAACATGAGAAACTAAGTAAATGTTATGCCTCACAAAAACCAGTCACAGATCTGAATTTATGATAAAAACTGAACTTAATTTTTTAAGGTCGAGCATTACATTTACTATAACGCTGGTATTTTACGTAGAATAACCTGTGATAACATTTTATAAATAAATAAAAAATAGATATAAACAGTGAAAACATTAAATCTATCATTTTAATGCACACACATCAAAAATTGCCTTACAGTAAAATAACAGTCAAATCAATAATTTTTTTAAAAATGAAACAATATTACAAAATCCTGTTCAATTTAATGCTCTCTAAAAGTGTAATAATAACATGTTTCATCTCCTTCTGTGACGTACTCTTTGCTTTGGAGACAGAAAATTCTCACTTCCAATGTCCATGTCAGGATGAGGATACAAATCTCCACGTTTTATCCCCCCTCTTTTCTTCCATCGCTCAGCCTCTCTGTTCTTCCTGCTATTTTTTGCATCTTTCTCAACCCTTTTCTTCTTCTCTTGAAGGGGTAAAAACAGCCCACAGCCATGGAGGTTGTGTCTAAACCGGTTTGTAGTACAAACTTCAACATCAGATTTGCACCAAGACCTCCCCAGAAATCCTCCTTCCCTCTTGGCCTGGGCCTCTCTCCTCAGACGCTTCACTTCACGTCTTTCCTTGCGTCTTTCTGGCCATGTTTTCCTCCTTTCTCCTGCCTCCTGCTTTTTCTTGCTCTTCCACTTCTTCTCCTTGCAGTCTTCTGTTTTTTCAAACAGGTGTTCTTGCTGTAAAGATCCAGCATTCACCAGCTCTGAAAACACAGGCAGCATCAGTACAAGAGACATTTATGATGATCAGAATACAAATCATGCCTTTAGAAAGACAACAGAATGAGTTGAAATGCTTTATTTTAGGTTTACATCATCATAACAACAAACCTTTGTCCCTCTTGGCTTTTCTGTCCATCCTGGTACCACGATGGAGAATGTCCTCCTGGGTGTCATAGTAAATAACGTAAGGCAGAGAAGGCAACGTTCCACTGACCATCCTCCTGTTTATGCACTCCTGATGTTGGCAGCAAACAAAGATGCAGATGAAGTGGAAAATATTCAAAAATGTAAGAAAATTGGGTAACACTAAAATAAGCAAAGAATGCTGTGTCTTTATAACTTACAAAACCATAATGTCCTCTTTTGGAGCAGTTGTAGCAATGAGCTCGTCGGTTTTTATGTCTCAGACTGCAGACACTTCGTGGTCTTAAAGGAACCTCTACCTTCACCTGAAAACAAAGGTCACAGCTGATTTTTAGAGAGATTTCCTGTGTTAAAACATGAAAATATGAGCTAAAAAGACACTAAGTTAATTAAAAACACCTCTTTTGATTCCAGCATGCTTCTCAAGAAGGAGGAGGATAATAATTATTTTTATTATTAGCTCTTCTTTCGAGCATTTTAACTGACGTGCACACCTTCAGCAGCTGTGTTACAAAAGTGAGACAACTTAATTTCTGATTGTTGTGACATTTGTGCAGAACTAAAACAGCAGACAGAATAACGTGTTGCCCTTAACAATGGTTTATGGGGAGCCCAAGTCACACCCATCTACTTCCAGGCCGTGGGGCCCCAAATGCCAAAAAAAATAAATAAAAAATGGGAGTCTGAGAGAGGATAAAAGTAATTTTCTGATCCCATTTGTTATGTGCCTAAGGATTTAACATAAGATGTCCATGCATTTTAAGGACACATTATGATGCCAAGAAAGCGCCTATTTTTGAAAGGCAGCAAAAGTTATTATAGGTTTTGTGTGAAAAGACGTATAGGACTACAAATGTTCGTCTCACCAAACTGACATCATGGAACCAGGCATGAAGAAGAGGGAAAGATTTGTTTAGTGCGCTTTGAATCCTTCTCCCAGTACAAAAGAAGGAGCAATAAACGCAGAGAAAACCACCATAAATCTGGCCATGTGGTAAGTAGCTACGCTGGGGGAGAAGAGAGTCTGCGGTGACGTCATACATGCAATGACTGTTTTGTAGTCTTATGAATATTTACAAACTAATAAATCTTAAATTACGTGACAGACATAGTCGAAAGACAAATCATCAATTTTAATTTAAATTGAAGTACAACATAAGTGTGATTAAGAGCGTAAGGCAAAGTGGATTAGAAAATAGCTTCTATCGCCCCATTGACTTCGACTCATGTTGTCTTTGTTCTGGGGACCCGACTGGAAGGGGAGGAGACTTTTAACTTCTGTTTACTGCTATCACAGTTGCTGGGCGACAGAACACGCACTGAGGTAAGGGCAGGAATATATATGAAGAATAGATGGTCCAAATCCACTGCAGCTCACATCTGGTTAGCAGTTGACCTACTTAGAGTGGGTAGAATGGGTCCTTACAAGGATGCTACCCCTGAATTGGGACAGACCCAAAGTCAAGCAGATTGGTGTGCAGAGTTGCTGGAGGAAACACCAGATGAGCTACAGGAAGTGATGGTAGCTGGTAGAAAGAAACCAGAAAATACAACAAAGCCTACAAAGCCCGCAGATTTATGGTAAATATGGTTAGAAATGAGAAAAGACCGCAGTGGTGGACAGTGAAGGGAATGTTTAGTGAGGCTAACGTGTTAATAGTTTCCCAGAGAAAATGTTTATTATATACAGTGATTTTTAAAATTATTTTGCCCTGTTTGAGAGCTGATTGTGCTCAGAGGTTTTGAGCATTTTGCTTTGACAAGGAGCTAAAATGAATAAAAGGTTCTACTTACTGTCAGGTGGTATTGTCTCCAATTATCCGGGCAGGCCTGTGGAAAACCCACAAGATAAAAAAAAAAAAAAACATTTACCCTTGGAGCTTCACACAGACACAACTTTCATGTTGTTTCACTGAAGACGAGGAGACATTTTGAAGAAACAACACACTTCAAACACCAGACTCATAAATGCTCCTGAGACTGTGAAACTGTCAAAATGAAGCTGTCAGAATCCTTCAACACAGTCGAACCATCAAAAGGAGCCTGTTATTGGAGCCGATGGACTAACTCACATCACTCAGGTGGCCCATCATCCCACAGCGCTGGCAGTGCTGCTTCCACACAGAAGGCACTCTGCAGGGACTGAGGCCATGAGGGGGAAGTCCACATTTAGCACAGGGGCGGCTTTGACAGTCCCTCTGGATGTGCCCCTGGATGCCACAGAGAACACAAGTGGGACGTTTCTGTTGAAGAAAAAGAGGAGATTCTGCTATTCTTTAAATATGGATGTGGCCATTTTGTCCGTTTCTGCAGCATGGAGAAAAGATGGGAGTGTTTCTGTACCTTGTGAGAGGTGCAATTTCTGGCAAAGTGTCCCGTTTTGTTACAAAGGTTACATATCGAAAAACGACCAGGTACGAAATAACGAGTGTGCAATGGCTGAGCCGCACCATCCTAAACACGAGGAAAGGACAAACATTAGCATTTTAGAGAACAGATACTATTTATACTTTCAGGTGGATGCCCGTTACGGTTTTGAAAATGACTGGATATGAGGTTACCTTGTCTTTATCTGATACAGCCCAGATGTCTGATACTGATTTTACATCCGTCACACCTGTAAAATAGAGAAGGGCACATATAAAACACAACAAGGCTCATATCTAGAGTTATTATAAGAGTTCCAAATATAACAACATTTACCGAGCAATACTGGCAGTTAGTTTTCTTTTATCTGATGTTAACATCTGAAATTTTTGAGTGAAATGATCTTCCCTACATTCTAACATGATCATTTAGTTGTTGTAGGGCTGGGCGATATGGCCTAAAATCAATATCACGATATATTGAGGATTTCACCTCGATAACGATAAGTGGACGATAACTACAGGTATGCGCAGAAACAAAAGTTGTCCACTAGATGGGGCTGCCACATGTACAGAGATCTCTCGCAACTTCGCGGTTCGTTTATCGCGGATTCACGACTTCGCGGATTTTTTCTTTGGAGCCTTATTCAAGGGAAATTCGCCGATTCGCGGCATTTTTCACCGATTTGCGGTATTTTTCTATGCGAAATATCAAGAAATTCCAGTTTTTTTATCAATTTCATCATAAAATGTACTTTTTGTAATAAAACTATAAAAAAAACAAGTAAAAATACAGTACTATGTAAAGGGAGGGTTTTAAAAGTCTAAATACTGAATACGTACCTGTTAAAAAAATACTGTAAATATGGTGTCCCTACTTCGCGGATTTTCACCTATCGCGGCCAGGTCTGCAACGCATCTACCGCGATAAACGAGGGATCACCTGTATTACGTTGAGGTGGTACAGCTTCTTATAGGGACATGAATGTTGCCAATCTACACACATTTTTATTTTATTTTTTATAATCAAATTTAATGACACGGGGAAAAAATTTCGATAAGAGTCAATAATTTCTATAACGATAAATGTTGGATTTATTGTCCAGCCCTAATTTGTTGTTAAAATATAGATATTAATTCATATATATATATATATATATATATATATATATATATATATATATATATATATATATATATATATATATACATAAAGGAAGACTACACATTGGGTTAGACTGATTTATCAGGCCAATCGGTGAAACTGGAATAATTAGAATATGGTGTAAAACTCTTTTTTTTCAGTCCAACTTAGACTGAGAGACCATCTAAAGGCTCAGGAACCCTTTGCAGATGTTCTGGATTCATTAGCTGATTAGAGTGTAACACTTTGAGTTTAGAATATTGAAACTTTTCTGAATGGGGGGGGGGGGGGTTCATCTGTAATCCATAATCATCACAATTATAACAAATAAAGGCTGAAATAGCTGACTTTGCATGTAATGAGTCTGACTCAAATATTAGTTTAACCTTTTAGGCTGAATTACTGGCACAAATGAACTTTTGCACCATGTTCTAAGTTTCACCTGTACCTCTGGAGCGGAGACAATTTATAAACAGGCACATCTGCAGGCAACCAAGTGCAGAAATTTATTTAATATATATTTATGTTCTTAAGAATATCTGCTTGAAAATGCTCTAAACATTATTGTAAACTAAAAAATTTTCATTTACAAGTTTTTTTATATATTTAACACTTGATAATTTTAATGATTTCAACCATTAAATTAGATTAAATGTTTGATTTTATTACTGAGCAATGCACAAAATTCATGTTCAACATTTGGTTAAAATTCAGAGGTCACAAATGTGCATGCGCAGTGATTTGTGACATTTCAGCATGCAGATAAGGCTGAAAACTAGTGATGCACCGATATGACATTTTAGGTCCAATACTGATATCTGAAGTTAATATCACGGTTATTGTTGATAGCTGATATTTGCTGATACCGATATTGTGACATTAATACTTGTAAAATCAGCAGATTTGATATAGAATGAAATTAAAGCTGAATTTATGCTATTAAGTACACATGCCACACACATTTACGCTTCTGAGATGATTACAACCACTATCACATGACTAAAAAAATACACACCCTCACACTCTGACACTGATAAACAAATGGAAACAAGATAGAAAAAATATTGATTGTTAATATCGACCCAGTTTTATTTATTGAACTGATACTGATGTGTTAAATAATGACTAAAATTGGCCAATACCGATATTGATGCCACTAAATTGTGCATTCCTACTGAAAACGTATAGATATCAGCCATGAAACTCAGCAGCATATATCGGGGCAGACCATGACCTCTACATATCAGCATCAGTATCGGCAATGGAAAAACCTACATGTGTCGATCTCTACCGCACGAGCACATTTAAATAACGTTTTAGTCATAAAGAACTCCTAAATATGCAGAGGTAAAGCCACGAGCTCTAAAACATCAAAGTTTGTAGCACTCCATAAAGATTATAAGTGGAACTCTTGGACAAAAAAAACATTGCTTTTCAGCGAGTTTTTGTCTCTTTTGCTGTTTTTGAACTGGTAATAAAGAAATTTACTTTACTTAAACACAACCTAAATCATAAAAAAAAGTACAATGTTGTGTCAATATAGGTCTAACCATCATCCTCAGAATCATCCCAGTAGGCCAAGTTGAGCTGGATGCTGGAGTCTTCCTCCTGCTCCTCTCCTCCCAGGATCATCCACTCCTCTATGGGCTGGTCACTCTCATCCTCACCCTGCTCCTCCTGTGAATCATAACTGAACACACTGCTGGTGTCATCCTGGGTCTTTTGTGAAGTGATGGGGAAGGTCAGGAGCGGAGGAGAGATCTCCCTCCTGAGCTGTGCAGCTTGTCTGTGGCTTTTGTCACGTCTCGGAAAATCTGAATTAATAAATTCGCCTTCTCCAAAATTGCAAGATTCATCATCATCACAGTCGAAATGGTCTTCGTCCTTTTCTTCATCACCAGTCTCTTTTTCTCCATTATACATGATGCGATGTGAAACTAATAGAAACTCAGTAGCACCATCTGGCGGTGGCTTTTTATATTACTGTCAAAGAGCGGCGCTTTATCACGTTTTTAAAGAACCAGACGTTTTATAAAGAATGTGTATCGGGAATATATCACGCTGCTGTCTTATTTAATCAATTATAAGCCTTAAAATGTAACAAGAGTGGGTACTTGTTCTTCTGGTTAGGTCATAAAGCGGAAGAGCACTTAGCATGTAGCTAAAATGAAGACGAAACACAACTAAACTGAAAATAAAACAATAAATGAAACATACGGTCTAAAAATGCTAATCGGTAAAAATTAACTGTTGATTCGCTGCATCTGCGTCGCGTTTTCTTCTCCCGTGACAAACGCTCTGAGACAGAAGGCATTTACATGTGGATCATTTGAAGAGCTTACCCGGCGTTTCCGGTAAATGTTGATGTTGGACAACTAAAAATGATCCCGGTGTAATCCATGGTTGAGACCAATCTAGAAAGAGACACTTCTTTTTTCGGGATACAAGCGGAAGGGTCTGATTCAAAAATGTAATTTTGATTTAAACCCGGTGCTCAGTAAGCCTGCTACAGTGCTGTGGATTTGTGTTTGTTACAGATTCATTTTCACATGTAAAAACAATTTCAATATTATAAGGAAGTTTCAGTTTAATATGCTAAACGTTTTGCCCTGAATAACCTAACCGTTTGCAAATTGTTTTTTGTTTTGCTTCAGATTCATTGTTACGGCTCCAGTTTAGGATCCGGGCACAGGTAATTAAATGAAGGTAAAAGGAGTGGGAGGAGTCATAGGGCTGTTAAATAACAATATCTTTTAATAACATAAAAGGAGGGACTATAACCGCATCACAGGATAATACCAGTTACACAAAGGGAAAAAGGGCTGGGGAACCAGCCCCAGGAATAAAATACAACAAAATATACCAAGCTTTCTGGTTTAGCTGGAACCTCTAAAACTTTACAAATTAAAGGCTGGTGTACACCTCTGGATCTAGATAAACAAATCAAATAAACGAAACTATAACCACCGTCTGTCTAGCGTAGGACCTCTAAAACACGCACACTATTCGATTACAATCGGACACGGAACTCAACGGGAGTGAGGAGCAGGGAGACAACCCATGGGTAAGAGTTGCTCCCCGAACAGCTGATCCCGCGTCATCTTTATCCTCTCCGAGCTGGACTCTCCGCGCTTCGACCAGGGTTCCTGGATGACGACACTGCCACAAGTTCATTTTGAGGGAATCCCCGACGTCGCCATGGAGACGAGACGCTCTTCCTGGTTCTCACGCGCCGACAGGTTTCTTCCGCTATGCCGCTCCACAAGGAGTATGCCATAAAAAAATGAAATACAATAATAACCACAAGCACTTACAGGCCCCACTGAATAGGGGACGTAACATTCATGTACACTTACACATGGCATCGTGTGAAGAACAAATAGGCCTTTTATCATAGTTGTAATTTCATTATTTAATATAACAATACGACGTCCGTCCGTTTGAATAAGAATCTATTTGTTTATCAAAACACTGGAACAAACTGTCATGTGTCTCTTGTACTCGGCGCCTTAGTGAATCAGTAAAGTTTCTGAGGAGACTCTTGCAAGATTTTGGGATTTTGTGTTTCGCAGAATTCTGACTGCATCTTTATTTATTTATTATTCATTTAAACTACACACATAAAGAGCGCCTCGATTGCGCCTTCAGAGACAGCAGCTTAGGTGCTGAAAAAGGCATCTCAGGAGTTTAACTTTTTAGATTTGTTAATTATGTTTGCTCCACTTTTTGTTTGTTTTTAGATTTCCTTTGAATTTGCATAGAAAACATATCAGAGGAGAGTATTTGGTTTTGAGAAGACCCGGCTTATTTTTAGTATTCGCCTATTTCAGCTATAGGCTATTTCAGTTTAAACCTTGGGGCGGAAAAAATCTTCTATTTCAGAAAACAATGACGCTCGAGTGTCATTCTGTGATGGAAGTAAGTTTCGGGCTGGTTCCGATCACCGTTCTGCACAGTAAGTATATTCAGTCATTCACCTCTGGAGCTGCTGGATTGTTGTCTCGCCGTCTGACTGGAGGTCTCTCGGTCTCCCCCGGGTCTCAGGGCACGGTGGAGTGAACCAGCTCGGTGGGGTGTTCGTTAACGGACGGCCCTAACAGGTTTTGTGCCATAAATCGACTGGCTGCCAAAAAATGCTGCCGCGCGCGCACGTTTTCCTCTGCCGTGTGCTCGCTGGCAACGCACGCACGCAGATTTGTCACTTGTGCACGTCCTTGTGCGCTCACAGACACAGTTTGCTCCTTCTCAGTGCACAAATGACCTCTCGCCATGTATATTTTCACTCGCGAATCCCGTTCACACGCGCGATGTGGACCCAATCCGCGTGCACGGGTTGTGGCACGCCTCTGACGCCATAGTCGTGCTGGTCACTTCCGGTGGAGTGGACCTCTGATATCAGGAACCCATAGATTAGCTCCGATAGGACCCATCTAGTCTGATGTCTCTACAGGTGACGGCAGGAAGCTGGAATGTTTGTTTGCGTCTAAGTCTGTTTGTTTGGCTCTTAGAAGAGCCGTTTGTCTGATATCAGCTGCAGCGTTACAGACAGGGGCGCCTCCAGAAAATTTTGATAGCGGTGGCCAGATGGGGCCAAAGAAATTTTTGGGGTGGCACACCAAATTGGTCTTTGTGGTAACTGTGGTTGAATTTAGTCTATGGCAATGTGCTGCACTGCGCCTTTATTCGTTTTTATTAAAATAACAGTACGTATCCAAAACGTTGAACTTAAATTTTACAAACAAAAACTTTTGATTTAAACATCTTGTTCCTTCAACACATATGATTATTCCAACTTATGAGCTGTAAAGTTATTTATAATTCAGGATAATTTCCTCAGAGTGAAAATGCAGGAGTCTGCATGAGGCCTTGGGTGAGAATGTTTTGTCTTGTACGAAAACAAGAACTGAGCAGAACTTTCTGGATTTGGAGGCCAGACAGATGGTTTTTGTGTCTGCAAATGATGGTTATTTCCTGGTCAATTAGATGGTGAAAAACTGACCGCTTGGTACATTACATTTAACCCCAGTAAAACAACCACTAGCCTGATGTTCATGTAGCTACTTAAACGTAGATTAACCCAAAACTCCTCAGACTAAACCTGTTTTCACGGGTCAAAATACAAACTAAAGTGGGTTTATTTTTATTCTTCACCTGGTCCCAACTCTGAATATCAATTCTGATAAAGTAAAGCAAGCTATGAGAAGTAAAGAAAAAGAAAAAAATGGTACAAATGAGAAACATGTTCAAGGGGAGTGGGATGAAGCCCTCGCTTGTAAATCCCTGTCCTTATTTATTTAATAGTCTCCAGATTAATCAAAATGTGTTCACCAGTGACCCCGGAAGAGGAAGCAAACTTTAAATATCCTGACAAGGCTTTTATTGTGATAATGGAAAAGTGGACACAGATTAAGAATCCACACAACCACCGATAATCATTTTCAGCCTCAGCAGATCCATGCAGAAGTAGAACCCGAGTCAGACCTTCTCTAGCTCTTCCACCAGGGTGCAGCATCTTCACACCCAGCCTCCATAGCGGAGCTTATTAGGGAGGTAGATGTTGGTGAGGAAGTCAGGAGCTATGGAGGCCAGGGACTGGATTTCAGCCTTCACCTGACTCTGCTGCATCAGCTCCATCTACAGAAGCAAAAGAGCAGCTTTAGGGGTGGGTGGGAGTCAAACCCTCGTATCTGCCGTTTAGTCATCTGGTACGTTTATAAACTCCGCTAAAGAAGACCGCGTAAACACAATAAAGAACAATGATATAAATATAAGACATGAAAAGGACCTTCCAGAGCTTTTATTCTGAGGTCCCTTCATGTTGGCATTCAAACAAACTGACAGCCGCACATTCTGAGACAAAGGTTTTACCAGCACCTTCATCATTTCTGCCATCTACTCTCTCAGCATCTGATTTGCAGCAAACAGAGCTAGTCACATGGTGGTTTAGGCTAACTGCACTCGTTTAATAGCAGCCGTTACTATGTGAACGCATCATCAGAAACAGAATCAGAATCAGATTAGGTTTATTGCCATTGTCAGTGAACAAACAATTCACAAACTAGGAACTTGCTTCGGTACTAACGTGCTATATATAACATGAATAATATAATTAAAAATAGAATAAAGTAGAATAAAATATAATAAACTAGCATAAAACTTTGCTATAAAAAAGGCAGGTAATGATAATATGGCCGATAACGTGACGTTATGTCAAGTACAGAAGACGAGCATGGTTGTGTGTTTATAAGCTGTTCACAAGTCTAACGGCAGATGGAAAGAAGCTGTTCTTATGGCAGGAGGTTCTGGTCTGGATTGACCGTAACCTCCTGCCTGAGGGAAGTGGCTCAAAAAGTCTGTGACCCGGGTGAGAAGGGTCAGCTGCTATCCGACCTGCACGCCCCCGAGTTTTGGAGACGAACAGGTCCTGGAGAGATGGAAGGCTGCAGCCAATCACCTTCTCAGCAGAGCGCGCAATGCGCTGCAGTCTATTTTTGTCCCTCACCGTGGCTCCAGCGTACCACACAGTGATGGAGGAGGTGAGGATGGACTCAATGATGGCCGTGTAAAACTGCACCATCATCTGGGCCGGCAGCTTGGCCTTTTTCAACTGCCGCAGAAAGTACATCCTCTGCTGGGCCTTTTTGATCAGGGAGCTGATGGATGGCTCCCACCTAAGGTCATGTGTGATGGTGGTTCCGAGGAAGCGGAAGGAGTCCACAGTGGTGACGGGGGTGTCCGTCAGGACGAGGGGGAGAGATGGGGCTATTACTGTCCTGAAGTCCACAATCATCTCCACTGTCTTCTGAGCATTGAGCTCCAGGTTGTTGCTGCTGCACCAGTACACCAGCCGTTCCACCTCCCTCCTGTAGGCAGACTCGTCACCGTCAGAGATGAGCCCGATGAGGGTGGTGTCGTCCGCAAACTTGATTAGTTTAACGGAGTCATGGCTCGAGGTGCAGCAGTTTGTGTACAGGGAGAAGAGCAGAGGAGAAAGTACACAGCCCTGTGGAGATCCTGTGCTAATTGTCTTAGTGGTGGAAACATTCTTCCCCAGCCGCACGCACTGCCTTCGGTCCGTCAGGAAGTCAGTGATCCACCTGTAGGTTGAATTGGGTATGTTGAGCATGGAGAGCTTGTCCTGTAGCAGAGCAGGGAGGATGGTGTTGAACGTAGAGCTGAAGTCCACAAACAGGATCCTAGCGTAGGTTCCCGGGGGGTCCAGGTGCTGCAGGATGAAGTGGAGGGCCAGGTTGATGGCTTCGTCTACAGACCTGTTGGCTCTGTATGCGAACTGCAGAGGGTCCAGGTGGGGGGAGGTGAAGGACTTGAGATGAGGGAGGACCAGGTGCTCAAAAGACTTCATGACTACAGACGTCAGCGCCACAGGCCTGTAATCATTCAGTCCAGTGACATGGGGTTTCTTAGGCACAGGAACAATGGTGGACAGCTTAAAGCAGGCTGTAACATGGCAGGTCTCCAAGGAGATGGTAAAGATGTCCGTGAAGATTGGAGAAAGTACCTCTGCACAGTGCCTCAGGGTTGCGGGGGAGACACCGTCCGGGCCCGGGGATTTCCGAGGGTTTTGCTTACGGAAAACCCTAAGCACATCCTCTTCTTTCACTGAGATGGCAATGGAGGGGGAGGGGTGGTCAGTGGGGACTGTACTATTCACAGTGGCGAAGGTGGTGGGGGAGGCATGTGACACCAGAGTGGTTGAAGAAGCCTGTGCAGTAGGGGGTGTGGGGGATGGGTGTTGCACTTCAAACCTTGCATAAAAGGAGTTTAGTTGTTCAGCCAGTTGTAGGTCGTCAGCAGCATGTACTTAGGCAATTCCTGGCTCAGATTTGCCTTGTTAAAGTCGCCGAGTATAATAACTAGAGTCCGGAAAGGTCTGTTCCACACTTAGGATCTGCTCCGCGAGTGCACGTTGCGCTTCATGCACGTCCGCGCACGGCGGGATGTAAACAGCAGCCAGAATGAATGAAGCGAACTCACGTGGGGAGTAGAACGGCTTACAGTTTATGAAGAGAGATTCCAGAGCAGGAGAACAGTGCTGAGAGATCACAGTCACATCCGAACACCAGGCATTGTTGATGTAGAAGCAGACACCTCCACCTTTTGCCTTTCCTCCGGATAAGACCCGCTGTCTGTCTGCGCGGAACAGCTGGAATCCCTCTACATGGAGCGTGCAGTCCGGGATTTGCTCGCTGAGCCATGTTTCCATGAAACATATGACAGAAGAGGAAGTTCCGTCTGTTCCGTCTCATCAGCAACGCCAGTTCATCCGTCTTGTTACTAAGTGAGCGGACATTGGAGAGGAAAATCCCAGGTAAGGGCGTGCGTGAGCCGCGTCTTCGTAGACGCACGAGCACTCCTGCACGTTTTCCTCTTCTACGGCGTCTCACTTTCTTAATAAAAAAGTGGACCAAATCCGCCACACCCACTAAAAAAACTGTAAATAGCTCCGTCGGCATTGATGTTCTGACGTTTAGAAGCTCTTCACGGGTGTAAGAGCACGCTGACATACAATTTACAGACATAAACAAAAAAACACGCTGCACGTTAGCACCAGGGCGACCATCTTCGGCGCCATCTTGGTCTCATCATTCATGGATGTGAAGCACCATTTGTATTTGAATATAAAATAGCAACAGGATGTCGTCACGTTTGACAATTTATTTGATTGACAATCATCCCTGAAAGAGAGGATCACTGATATCGAACAGTCCAGCAGAAACCTCAGAGGCAAACACCACCAGGTCAAATTTGAAGCTAAATGCAAACCGATCAGCTCTTTGATAATCAGATGTCTTTTTCCACAGAAGGCATTAGCATTAGCAATAGCAGGTGTTATGGCCACCAGCCTGGCGTCTTCAGGTGTTTTATCCCAGGTGAGGGTCGTCAGAGGGATTCAGGTCAGCTGTGCTCCTCAGCAGCCTGGAAGAGAGGAGGAGGGGCGGTGTCCTGACAGATTCCTGACAGAAGGTTTGGTGTAAGAAGCAAGCTGACCAAGAGAGGCTCTGACTTTGGGAACCAGCTTGTCTGGGGCACAGATGAGGATCTCAGTCTTATCTTCATTCAGCTGAAGAAAGCTCCCAGCCTTCCAGGTTTTGATAAGAGTCTAAGCAGGTGTGTAACAGCTGCAGCTTAGACATCTCATGGGGCTTAAAGGAGATGTACAGCTGGATGTCAACTGCATAAACATAGTAGGAGATTCATTTGAAGGAGCTCAGGATGTGCTGAAGAGGGAGCAGATAGAGGAGGAAGAGCAGAGGCCCCAGCACAGAACCTTGTGGGACACCATGGGTAAGGGAGGTGGTGGAGGACCTAAACTTGGAGATGGCCACAGAAAAGGAACGCTCAGAAATATAAGAGGAGAACCACTCCAGAGCAGTTCCTGATAGGCCTGCCCAGTCTCAGCCTCTCCAGTAGCAGGTGATAGTCAACAGTGTCAAAGGCTGCAGTCAGGTCCAGCAGGACCAGAACAGAACAGTCCCCTGCATCACTGTGAGTCAGAAGGTCATTGGAGACCCTAAGAAGAGCGGTTTCAGTAGAATGAGCTCTACGAAAACCTGACTGGCTTTTTTCTCTGTTCTAAATGATTTGAATGTCTTTAAAGCCACAACAAGTAGAAGCGCTAAAAGCCTTTTTTCTAAAAAAAAAAAAAAAAAAGATGTTTGTGCCGTCGCCAGACGCCATTTTTGACTACAGATTAAAAAAAACTACAGCGTCGCGCGGTACAGTCTGCATTTCAGTCTTTTTTCTGATTGGTTATTTTTGCGCTGCCTAGTCCCGCCCCTCATGTGTCTCTGCCTGTGAGTTACCAGACTCTTACTCTGTGCAGAATTAAACAGAGGACGGGCCTGGCAGGCCAGGCATCTTTGTGTTGTCAAATGGAGATGATTTCCCAGAGTCCATAAAAAAGGGTAATGAATCTAGTTTTGTTTTCATGTGTACTAGTCCAATACATCCTGAAACACCTAAAGGCTCTTCTCTCCATCTGGATTCCTCAACACTCACCTCCTTCTGCCAGTCTGGCTGACTGGCTACGTAGGGTCGCTTCAGCAGGCTGTTCAGTTTGCTTTCGTCTCTCTTGGTGAGTGGAATCAAGGAGTCCCTGGGAACCCGTAACCTAAAGAAGACAAGTTTATCATCTTTCCTCCTGACGCTTTTTCAAGACACAGCGAGGAATTAGCATCAAGATGGAGCTCAGAGGGAAAGACTGCAGACTGCAATTACAAGAATCTCAAAATGCCCTTTTCCCTAAATTTGCTCAAGTCGACATACACTTAAAACACCATACGAGTTTAAAAGCGGCTCCTTAAGCGCAACAGCAACAGAGACCAAAACAAACAATCAACATATCCCCAGAATATAATCCCAACTGAAGGCAGAAGAGGGAAGTAGGAAGTCGTGAATGTAGAGTCCAAACCTTTGCAGGTCAGAGGGGAGGAGGCCTAGCCACATTACGCTGGGGACGGTCAGACTGCGAGCCTCAAATGACATCGCCTGTGGCAAAAAACCCACAATCACACACCCAGTCACACAAAACGCTTCCAATAAACATACAGATAATCAGCACTGTGTCTCCATAATATGACTATGGCCAGCGTGTGCTCACAACACGGAGACGGTTACTCCAACGTGTTGTCTCCTTGACACAACAGCTGACACAGACCAGGCTAGATCTGACAAGAGCACAGAAACATAAAGGGACTCACCACCGACCCATACTTGTAGATACACATGATCTCAATGCCTGGAAAAAGAAAAAAATCATAGGAAGCGACACAGACATGGCAATCAGGAACATACCAGAGCAATTATCCCCTAAGATGTGTAACAGAGCTAAGAACAAAGTAAAGCATTACATATGCAGGAGGGGAGAAACGTCGGAGGTATGGAGGTTGACGAAAACTGAGCCATCCTGCCTTAACAGGATTCAGTGTTGGGCAAGTTACTTCAAAACTGTAATACATTATTTATTACTTGTTACCCTCATTTTAAAGTAATTCATTACATTACAATATTACTGATTTTAAAATGTAAGGCATTACACTACTTTTGCATTACTCTGTTACTTTCAACAAAACAACTTCAGTATGAGTTTGGTAATCTGATGCCCATTGAACTCCTGACACATCCGATGGAAGGTGATGTGGTGTCTGAGCTAGGATTGCTGTTAAAAACAGTCAGATATAATAACAGTGCTTTAAAATGATTGTTTATCAAATAAATGCAACAACAAACTGTACTCTCAGCACGCTGCCATCTTAGATTAACTGAGCAGAGAGTGAGGTGGTGGGGGCTCCAAGTCTATTTAGCCGTGGTCCCCAAATGCCTTGATACGGCCCTGGATGTGGGACTGACTTCTGGGGTGATCTGATTCTATCACATGTATAAATATTAAATGCTTATATATTATTGCTTTTCACTGGTAAAAATGTGTATTGGGGATAAATCTACCTACTTTTTGTCTTTTCAAGCAGTTTGTTTTGTTTTCTTGATTTTATTTGAATAATTTCCTGCCCTTTCTCTCTCTAAATTCCCTGCATGTTGCATGTTTTCTCCGTCTTCCAAAAAAAACTGTTTCCTAGACTTCCTACTTTCTAAAGATCAGCCAAAGGGATCTTCACATGCGCGGCGCTCCAGCAGCAATGAGTTGATATCACCGGGGCCCAGATTAACTCAGCTGAGGCAAAGCACGTCAGAAAAGTACAGAATACCAGAGAATGTGCGCTGATATGAACGATCGCAGGTGAATTATTTTGTTTTAGTGGAGCGATTTAGTGAATGTTACAGCGGCCGCGTGGAGGATGCAGCTGGATTATTTGAGCCGTTACCGCAACGTCCTCTCTGCCTGCAAAGCGGAGTCCATAAATGACGTCATATATGCAGATACTGGATCTTTTTTCGGGTTTCCCGCAATTTGAATTTTTAAGAAACGCATCTTGATTCTGGGTTTGAAATGCATTGTAATTACTGCGTTACTGACAATTGTACTGAGTAAATATTACCATTTTCTTTCCCTGTAATGCCTTACATTACCACATTACAGCAAAAAGCAATGCATTACAGTAATTAATTACTTCTGTACCGCATTACTCCCAACACTGACAGGATTACGCCAAAGGGATTACCGGATACATCAGTACCGTGACATCCTAGACAGATGTTAACTTGGCAGGACATGCAACCAGGCTGTCTCAGGTCATAAAAAGCTGTGGTGGTCTATGTGAACTATGTGTGAAGGTTACACTGATTCACAAGTACCATGAGGATCAGCGTCCACCAAGGCCAAGATGGGAATGTGCAGAGTGTCCCAAAGTTTCCTCACCATCAATCGGCTGTTCACATCAGGAACGCCTTTACCCTAACTCAGGAACAAAATAACAATATTTCTGTGACGTGAATCACATTCACAGCAGCAGAGTGTTAAATAAACAGGACAGACGGTGATCATGATGCAAGGAGAGAGCTTTGTGCAGGTATCGTCATCCAGGAGTCTCTGGAATGTCGCATCCTTCTCAACTATCAGGACAAACTTAGCCGAGGATACGATATCTGATGCAGTCAAGGAAGGACCAGAAGGACTTCTGTGTCCACAAAGAAACACACGTTGTGTGCATCTGAGAGAAACCATCTGAGAAAGCTGTTCTCAGAAGTATAAAGGATACTCGTGATGCCGCTGATGTTTGATGAAACTGAAACCGCCTGAGAATGAGACAGAGGCATTAATTATGGATGATCAAAGACAAGCAACGTAAAGCTAGTTGGGCTGACTGAAACACACAGTGTTACAATGATAATAAACCTTCTGCAAAATAAAACAGAATAATACAAGTATGAACACTCTGCTGTAAACCAATTACAGTAAAACGCTGTAAAAGGATGGAAAGTTCAGCGTGGAGGCTGAACAGTAGAAATGACACAGAAGGCAGTGCGTTACAAAGTAGGACATTTATTTATTTAAAGACCATTGTTATTAAAGGCTTAATCAGAATGTGTTTACCACCAGCTCTTGGTTTTTATGGATGAGAATGCCATTTTTGAGACTTTCCAGTCTGGCTTCAGAGCTCTACACAGCACGGAGACTGCTCTGGTTAGAGTGCTCAATGACATCTATCTAACGACTGATAGCGGTAATTCTGTGTTGCTACTTCTGCTGGACCTCATGGCAGCCTTTGACACGATAGACCATGAAGTGCTGCTTCACCGTCTTCATCATTATGTCGGGATTTCAGGATTAGCCCTGGAATGGTTTAGGTCATACCTGACAAATAGAAAAATGTGTGTTAGGATGGGAAGTTATTCCTCAGAGTACTCTGATCTACCTTGGGGGGTACCACAGGGCTCGATATTGGGACCTCTGTTGTTTTCTATTTACATTCTGCCCTTAGGTGACATCTGTTGTGAGCTTGGAGTTCAATTCCATCTTTATGCTGACGATTGTCAGCTGTACCTGCCTCTGAACACGTCAAGTGGTCTCTCTATTTCTACTCTTACAAACTGTTTGAGGGAGATCAAGACCTGGATGACTGAAAATTTTCTGAGCCTAAATGATCAGAAAACAGAGGCTATATTGTTTGCTCCAAGCATACACTGTGACTCTTCCCTAACTGACTGTGGGTCATTTAATGGCCAGCTGACTACATCGGTGACTAATCTTGGTGTTAAACTGGATAGCGCCCTTAGTTTTGATACCCATATCAATGGAGTGATCTCCTCCTCCTTTTTCCACCTTCGTCGGCTGGCAAAGATCAAACCGTTTCTGTCACGTCATGATCTTGAGACGGTGGTCCATGCTTTTATTACGGTGCGATTGGACTACTGCAACTCTGTTTTATTCGGTGTGAGCAAGGGCTCAATAGCCAGGTTGCAAATGGTCCAGAATGCTGCTGCCAGATTTTTAGAGGGCAGGCGCAAGTTTGACCACATTACTCCTGTCCTGGCTGCGGTTCACTGGCTGCCCGTTGATGTTAGGATTCATTTTAAAATACTTTTACTAGTTTTTAAAACGTTAAATGGTTTAGCCCCTCCTTACTTGGTGTCACTACTTCAACCATACACCCCTTCACGGTCACTCCGCTCGGAGAACTTCATGCTCCTCTCGGTCCCAAGAACGCGCCTAAAGACGCGTGGTGATAGGGCTTTTGCTGTGGCAGGTCCTAAGCTTTGGAATAAGCTTCCTCTGAGCATAAGGGCCTCCACCTCTGTTGCGGTTTTTAAGGCAAGGCTAAAAACATATTTTTATGACCTGTCTTTTAACCTTTCTAACTAGTTTTATTGTTTTACTTATAGCGATTTTACTCACTGTAGTTTTATCTGTATCGTGTGATACAATGTTTTATTTTCTGGACTTACTGTTTTATGTTTTTATTTGATCAGTGTAGCGCCTTGGTGGCATCTTTTTGCCTGTAAGGCGCGATTTATAAACAAAGTTGAGTTGAGTTGAGTTGAGAATGTGAATTTTAGGATTGCATGTTATCTTAGGACCAATCAAAAGTGGTTTATTAGTATTTCAGGGACACGACAAGGAAATTAATCCAGAACAGTTTGTCGGAGCTTTTACAAGCTAAACTATAAACCAAAAATGATGTTGAATCAGCTCAAGGATAAGCTTTTAATTTGGCAGCTGCATCCATCAAGGAGCTCAGAACTTCTTTCACAGTAAGAGTCACATGCATGTACCTCAAAGTCCTTTGAAAACACTTAGTTGATGTGTTCTCATATATTTTTATTTTAGAGACTTACTTGTCTGTGAAAAGTTCATCAACTCTGCATCAGCCAAGGTACTTCCTTAAATTTGAAGCAAGTAAACGGTAGTCTAACGCTATTGGTTAGTTCTGGTCGGCGCTCAGTTTCCTATTTCACGGAGCTCGGGGGGGGGGGGGGGGGGGGGGTGTGCTTAGCAAAAATAACAATAATAAAAAAAAATAACGTATCTCTTACATTATATCACAGTACATGATGAGACAACCACTTTTACGGATTTCTGAAAAATCATACATCCTTTCTGAAAGGGGAAAACTCCGGAAAGATACTTTAATGTGAAGTAAAATCTTAATAAACATTAATGTGAAGTAAACATGTTAAACATTCATATTTATATTATTAATGTGCGAATATACTGATAGATTAACATTAAATTCAACAATTACTAATCTGGTGTAATTTAAGGTCTGAAAAAAATCCTTAAAGGAATAAATATTCATGTTAACCCATCATTTATTCATGCTGAGTATTGGACACTTTAGATTTAAACATATTGTCAAAAAAATGTAAAACTTTTTTTTATGGAAATTTTATATTTTATTACTTTAATCCTATTAACTAATGTATTAGCTTATGCCTGAAAGTATTCTCACACTGTCTCTCTCACTCATGACCTCACTCCCATACACACACACACTGTCTCTCTCCCATTCACACATACACACACCTCTGTTCTTTCCTTATCTCATGTTATAAAATAAACTCTCAGGGCAGGATCTCTTGGCAGTTGCCCCGTGCTCTGCCCTGATTGCAACATGCTGACTTTGTCTGCTTATTTGTCTCCTCTTTTCTCTTCGACTGCAGGAAATGGGTTTATTGATAAATTCCCTAACACTTATAACATTATAAAGTCATTTTATGAGCCAGGAAAGATAAACTGGACGGGGTTTTAGGAGTGCCTGTATGTATTCTGCATCTAAAGCAAGCGTGCAAACAGAGAATCCTGACTTTGTGTTTCAACCCACAACAAAGTGTGTGCCGATGAGAGAATCTGCCTTTTATCATGGTTTTTGTGACGCACCACGACATTGCTGATCCTCCTGATTGGGTGTGACAGGAAGAAGGTTGAACATGGAGATCATTTTACTAAATGAGTGTTATGGTAAACAGCCGCCAGCGGGGCATTTATAAGGTTGTTTAATGGTTTTATATATAGCAACATAAACGTGTGGAGCTGAGCAAAACACACACATGCTGCTGAGGTTATCTTCTAGACAAGTGGGTTATTTGTTAGTGTGAAAACAAGATTTTTAGTGGAACTTACAGCAGAGGTAGAGCGACAGTCAATCCTTGTGCCGTCTGCCTCCAAATAACACAGATCACCTGAGATTAGGCCCTTGGATGTTGCCAACTACACAAGTTACACAAACACACACAGGTCACACACAGCTGTGGCATGGCCTCTTAGCGTTCCAGATTAATCCCATCTTTGTTTGATCAGTAAAACTAGATCTATGCCACAGGTGTTTCCTGAAACATGAAGCAGAGCAAAACTAAAATACTGTTTTAATCTAACAGATCTTATATGTGAGCCGTTAATCAGCACAAGCTTTTACGCTTAAAGGTTTTTGCAACAATGCAAACCATCTTGTAGAAGATGAAGAGTGTGAGGGCTCACCACATGTAGCGATCTGCGGGGAAGCTTCAGCATGCAGGAGATGTCATCTATTATAGCATCCAGGCTCCTCTGGGAACTAAACAGCTGAGTGTTGCTGTAGAAGATGTCTCTGTGGAAGAAAACCTCAAAGTGAGAAGATTTCAGAATGACATTAAGATAAAGGTGCAGATTATATAGCTTTGGTGGAATGTATTTATAAGATAAATGACCTTTTTGTAGCGTAGGAGTTGCTCTGCACAAGTGTGTAGATGACAGAGAGGATCTTCAGAATTTGTGCTTTAAACAAAAGAAGAAAAACATGTTTTGGCATCAGTGATGAGTTGTAGCTAACATTTTCAAAGACTGGATAAAAAAAAATGAAGCTTTTTATGTGGCGACCTGATCCTCAAAGGTCGAGTTCACTGAGAGACAACTTTTACTTGTTCCTGCTTTAGCCACTGATATAAAATAGATGGGACTAGGGTTGCAACGATTATAAACTTTGGTGGTACGATTACAGTCTGAAAAATAATCACGGTTTCACAATAACCACAATTATTATACATTAGGGATGGGCCGATGCCGATGACAGCATCGGAAATACTTGCCGATTCTGGCAAAAATGAGGGTATTTGAATTGACGAGTTCTTATTTCTAAACATGAACCGATACCACGTAAACGGGATATTCCCCTGCCCAACTCCATAACACACAGACAAAAGATGTGATGCAATCTTCTTCTTCCAGCTCTTGGAGAGTTCAGACGCTTTTTTCCTCCTCTCCTCCCTATCTTATCCCAAGGCTCTTTGTCTGTCTTTGGGTGTACGGCGCTTCTGCATTTTTTCTGGAAACTGGAAATTATTAAAAGTGGACCTGGTCAGTTGGTCTCTCAACGCGATTGACAAAATTTTTTCAACGATGAGAACAGGAGAAGGGGCTCCTGGATGCCCCTCTGGGACAGAGCCAGCTGGGCATATCATGGACTCCTGGAAACAGTGGAACATGATCTGCCTCTCTCAGCTGTCTGTAGAGGATTCTGAAGACGTCTGGATATTCGTGGTGTTGGTGTCAGGTTTCTTGCTGTTTGGCCTGAGCGGTTACCTGGCTTACCAGAAAATTAATGAACTTTCGAGGAAAAGTGGCTCAATCCCGGAGCTCAGTGATGGATTACACCGCGCTGTGAACGCACAAACTCATATAATTATCGAGATGAGTCGTAAGCTTGGAACTTTTACTGAGATTCAGACTCTGGCACAGAAGGTGGATTCGATCAAAGAGAGAGCTGACGGATCAGCACGGTTGGGAATGGATTAATTTACGCCATTATTGGATCGAGAGGGGTTGGAGATCAACAGAACTTTAAGGCAGAGAGGAAATTATCTCTGTCTGGCCCAAAACAAGTTCTTATCTGAATATGGTGCCCTTGAGCCTGTGAGGCTGACGTACTCTGGACAGGCTGGCCACCCTTGTACTCTGCCTGACCCAGATCAGTAACTGGCTGTCCAGCAACTTTCTTGTTCTCAATGTTAACAAGACAGAGACCCTGATCTCTGCACCCCCGGAACTTCAACCAAAAATCGAGCAGGAAATTGCCTCCTTTTGCCCATCAGCCAAGGCCAACATTAGAAACCTGAGAGTTATTTTTGATCCAGCTTTAAGTTTAGACTCACACGTCAAAACCATCTCCCGCTCTTGTTTCTTCCAACTGAGAAACATTTCAAAAGTCTGTAAACTGGTTTCTACTGCAGATCTGGAAAAAATCATCCATGCCTTTGTGTCATCACGCTTAGACTACAGTAACGCTCTTTTTACTGGTCTCAGCAAAACCTCCCTCTCACGCCTTCAAGCCATCCAAAATGCAGCAGCCAGACTCCTAACCAAATCCAGCAGACGAGCTCACATCACCCCAGTTTTACAGTCCCTCCACTGGCTCCGGGTAGAATTTAGAATACAGTTTAAAGTTTTAGTCCTGACCTATAGAGCTCTTAACAACCAGGCTCCAAGCTACCTATCTGAGCTTTTATCCCCACACACCACTTCACGGAACCTTAGATCCACATCTGAAAACCTCCTGGCTGTTCCTCGAACCAGACTAAAAACCAAAGGGGACAGGGCCTTTCAGTCTATTGCCCCCAGACTTTGGAACAGTCTGCCTTCAAATCTCCGTCTCTTGAAATCTGTAGAGGTCTTCAAAAAACATCTTAAAACTCACCTTTTCATCCAGGCTTTCCCCCGCTAAATATTCTAAAAGATGGCTTTGTTCTTGTTCACACCTTGACTTTGTTTTAACTCCTGATTTTGGTTACTATTGTTGTCACTGCTATTGTTTTTATGATGTTTTTATTGGTTTGAGGTATTTGCCCTGATTTTACTCATGTTGTACAGCGCTTTGTGATTTTTATCTGTGAAAGGTGCTACATAAATAAACTTTACTTACTTACTACTTACTTACTCCCCCTCAGAAGAAATGTGGAATGCTGCTGTCACCATGGCAACTCAGTCTCCCTATCCCAGCCTGGGCGGGACCGAGATCAGTGAAGGTCATGGAACCGTTTCCAGGAGTCACTGTGCTTTCTAACCCAATTACCTCCCTCCCCTGTCCAAACGGAGGTGACGTGCGCTGCTCATTGCAGCTGCATGCACTGATGTGTGGAGAGTCCCCAACCCTACCTCCCCACCTAGTGGACACTTATGTTATGTAATGTCTGAAGTCTGTTGCATTTCTGTCTGAGGTGTTTTTTGCATAGCAATAGCATAAGACGTTGTGCAAATTTAGCGGCATTCGTTCCGCCTCATTTGGTAGTAATATTGCTGTAATGGTCTGTCTCATTAACAGCGACTGCATCATGACACAACAGAGGGAGGTATCACGATGACGTGGGGAGTTAATGCCGAGCTCGGGCTGGAAAATATATTGAAAACGAAAGTAAACACGAGCAATAAGTTTAGCTTTTTGAACTAAATCAGCTGAGATAGCAAACTGAATTGCTGCAGCTCTCCATGGGCATCTGCTAGAGCTAAAGCTCAGGTCACCAGAGACTGCACAGGGACTGATGGGGACAGACACCTTTAGGAGCGGCTTGTTAAAAAAAACTTAACAATCGCGGCTTCAGATGCAATAAAAAGCAAGTTATGTCCAAGATAAACAGAAGTCCACAGCATCTCAGGGACCACCCCATACCCCCTTTATGCTGCCATCGCCTAATCTTTTAAAAAAGGACACAGTTGCACCATATTACTGCTACAGTCTGACCACTTATAAATGACTTAAGGGTTCCACGGCGCTGTGGAAAATTAACGGCATTGTTTTTGTAATGTCCAGAAATGGTCAATTTCCACCTACATATTGACCTAGATGCTACTGGTCATCTGCAGACTTAATTCTATCCCCTAAAGTGGATTTTACACTCTATCTTCCTGAAGCCAGAAGGATACTGCATTCCATCAGCTGGAGTTCAGAGCCTCTCTGCAGCTCTGAACACATGATAACGTGTGTCAGAGTCCAAGCCCCCAGGCCGGGCTCTCCCAGCTGACCGGCTTCTGTCTCGGACCACATTACCCAGCATGCCCCTCGCGGGGATTCCCTCCACGTTGCACCTGCGTCATCCATGTCTATATATGGAAGACGCCACACCGGCTCTTCACTCAGTCATCGTTCCACCGTGTTCCATGATCAGAGTATTCAGAAGCTAAGACAGTTAAACCTCCACCTTTCTAACTCAGACCTCATCCTTCCGTCAGCCTTTTCAGCACCGCTTGCAGCCAGCAGTCTCTAATAAAGCTCGTACTCCCGAAACCAGTCTTCGAGTCTGACAACGTGTTGTCAACATCATGCCCTTCCTCAAGGCCTTAAGCTGGCCTTATCTGCCAACTTCACAGGACAAAAGATGAACTTCCACGACTAATAAGTTAAATAATCATTAAATAAATGATTGCTTATTGTCACTAATAATAATTATAATATAAATGAAATGCTTTCATTAATCTGTGCTTAAATTAATAAGGTTGATTATTCTGTGCTTGAATGACTGAAGTTTGAAATGACTTATATATATGATTAAATGTTGGATATGACAAGGTTCATAGAGATAAATTAAAGTTAAGTTAAATTTCATGACACATAGATATTTTCTTACCCCCACAAATCAAAACCTCTGTATCTGAAAGAAAGCGTGTTTCTGAGATTCTTGGTAATATCCCTTAAAATGGCATGCTCTGATTTGTTAAGAAATTAATATGAGAATATAAAAACAGAGCTCACTTTACGGTGACTCAGTTCTAGAGGAAGCTACGGAAACGGCCGTCCATAGTGAAGTCTCTTTAACCCAGAGCAATCTTTGACACGCCTTCAAGGTTGCTGCAAAGCTGACACGGACAAACCTGTTCCTTCAGAACAAAGCAACTTGCTCCTTCAGCTACTCAGAAACAGCTGCTCTAAGACACAACCAATTTCATCTATCGTGTGACCCGGAGGCAACTCAGGACTGACTTGGTCGCATCGAGGGTTTTTCTACGAACCACGTGCATTGGGGTCATCGGCTCCTTGACATCTCGGATTCAAACGGGGGTCTCCAAACGGGTGAAGTAAACACACAGATAGCGTCTGATGCCTTTTGATAATAATCAACTTCATAGCTTAACGCAAACCAAATTGTTTCCCTTTTACATCCAGAACTCAGCTCTTCTAGATACGAAAGTTCTGATAACATCATATTCACATATAGGCACCATACATCACATCTCCTCCATCTAGATTCATCCATCACAGTCGATATAAGTTCATACACCAACCTGCATGGTCTATATTTAATCCAAAGATTAATATTTAATTTAAGATAATTACATTTTATAGCAAAAGTTTATTTTTTCAATAACCAGAAATACACACCATTCTGTGTTTAATTTCAAGAAGAGAGTCAAGTTTTTAAAGTTAAGAATTTATTACTAGCACTTTTAAAAAAATGACTATTTGAAATGACAATTCAGAAATGACCATTTTTTAACAGACAATTTGATATTAAAACTTGTTTTGAAGGCAAATCTGTGACTGAGTGAAAGCTAAATTGAAAATGCAAGTTTTGGATGTGTGAATGTTCTCAGAAGGTTTCTTTCAGAGAAAGAAGCGCGTTCTGGGTTGGAAATGATTGTTTTGCAGCTAACTGAGTTGTTACTTAGAGAGACAGCATCAAACACCATCTTGTGCTACCTCACCCAGCAAGACGACCCTCTGTGTGGATCCGGAGGTCAAGGAGGATGTTGTCAGCCTCAGGGTACTCGGTCCGGTAGAGAAGACGCGAGTAGAACCGATCCTCTGGTCCAGATATGTCACAGGGTACACAGTGTCAAGCGTCATGTTTTAATTGTTTGGAAAATAAATTCTTACTTTTATAAACTTGACTCTCTTCTTGAAGTAACACGAAGTGTGTTTGATCACTGCAAAAGCAAAGAATCCTAGAATCTTCTGATTAAACATTCAAAGACCACGCAGGTTGACATTCTATATTTATATAGAATATTACATCTTCCTGGTCATAAGTAAAGGTAATATAATAAGCTTCAAAGCAACACATTTACCATCTCTACATATTATATGTACAACACTACATTTTGTAAAAAGGGCTTAACTCATTCACTGCCAGCAGTTTCCTGATCACTAACGGCCTTCGCTGCCAGCGTTTCTCACAGTCTTTACTGTTTTTTTAAGAGTCACAGAACGTTGCGCGCTAGCATGATGTCGATGCCAAAACAAAGAGGAGACTCACCTCTTACGTCAGGAAGAATCCGCGTGTTTCCAGCGTTATCCGTTCTTTCATAATCCGTTGTCGAAGTGTGATCGGCAGACGCTTTTCCGGTTCGCTCCTCACTTTTTTTTACAGGAACGGCCCAAAACGATCTCCTAACACATGGATGTGTTGCTTCCTGATCATGTGATCTGTGACGTATGCGGATGAAGATCGGCTTCAGGGCTGAGATGTTTGTTCTCTCAGCGCGGGGGCTCGTTCCGATGCTCAAACAGTAAAAAAATGCAAATGACGACTTTAGTCGTCATTGGCAGTGAATGAGTTAAGTGACAGTGGGACGTAGATCTGTCAGGATTTTCAAATCTTAGAGTTTCACCGTTTATTTTCAATCAGAAGCTGACGTAGAAGACATTTTCATGTTCAGCCTGCATGTTCAACTAAGAGTGACTGATTATAATCAGAAATAATCATTAAAAAAAGCTTTGTTTTAGTGAACCACACCTTTAAAAGCTCAAAACAGACACTATAAAAATGAGTGCAATACCAACAGCATTCAAAAACAGTAGGCAGGGTTTAGGTGGGTTTTGAGTCTGGATTTAAAAGTGGGGAGGGAATAGACCCTGTGCACGAGAAAAAGCTAACTTCCTGTTTTGAGACCGGATGTAGAGTTGTTCATTTCCGCTAACTTTATTGTGCTTTTATTTTGCTGAATCACTACTGTTGCAGACTCAAAAGTCATGTCAAAATTACTGAAACGGAATGATCGCGTTAAAACTACAAAGAGCACAAGGTGGGAACACTCATCACCGCTGCGTCCCGCTGTGTACTGCTGGGGGGAGATTTAACAAAACGATTCGTTTCCACTCCTTTACCAAGGATCCTGAGTTGCGGGCACAATGGCTGATAAAAATCGGACGGGACCGTTTCAGAGTTACGGCCAACTCTAGAGTGTGTAGTCGCATTTTGAGACTGGCAAGATCTTCTTGTCTTCTGCTGGAAATCAATGTCTTCAGCCAAAAGTTGTTCCGTCGTTATTCCACTGGAATGACTTCACGAAAAAGTCAGAGCGACCCAGAGTTTGGGAGCGCCGCCCTCGGCCTGTGGACACCGTGGCTATGGCAACCGAGGATGACAACACAGAGGATGGAAACACCAATATCCCTATCGCGGGTTACGCTGAGTCTGATCCAGCCTCCATCCCCATGATTGAAGATCATGATTATGCAGCAAGCTCTTTGATTGTCGTAGATAACATTAAATATGAATCTATGGCAAGGGAGATCAAGGAGCTCAGGCAGCAGCTTTCTCTATTTTGCTCTGAGGCACGGGGGAAAAAAGATCAACAAGTCGATGAACATCATCTACAGATATATTTGGCAAATGCCCGAGACATCTTGAGAAGTTTAAATCGACACTTAATTCAGCCATTTAGCTGACTACTGATGGAAAACCCGACCGTAAATCCTAGCTTAAACATGCTGCGGCTCACAACGGAAGTGAAACGCTCCACAGGAATTTTCCCCCGGAAGCAGCATAAGCTAAGACGCACAGAGTCTATCAGAGTTACAGATGGACAGAGGGGGGGAGAGCATTCCAGAGACGGGGAACAAAGTAACAGAAAGCTCTGCTCCCCGTGGAGCTGAGACCAATGTAAAATAATAGTAGAGCCTTTCTCACCAGATTTAGTGGCGGATGAAGGACAGTCGCTCCTGATGGTGGTGACACAATGTTCTGAACTCATCTGAAGCCCAATGGCGTCATTAAAGCTTTAAAAGGAGAACATTAGAGAGACTGCATTATGGTTCAAATCACAGTTAAAATCAGAAAAATGTCCAGAGCTCTGATTCATCTAAATCTGAAACCTTTAATTTAAGTCAGGCTGAAAGTTCCTAAAGATAAAACAAGGTTTTGGTTAAAGAAGACATGACAGTCAGGGCTCTGTGACACCTTATCACGGCCATCGCTTAAGGAACAGGAAGTTAAAAGTGGAACGTTTTTCTTCCTCAACCGTTTCCTCCTGTAGTCTGCCTGAAGCACGTTTTACGTAAATCCAGCCAGACCGGAGTTTCCTTTTGAAGGAAATAAAACAAGCATATGATCATCCTGTGTGACATTTTTACTATCAGGGTTAGGATAAGAATTAGAAGCGCCCGTCGGGCGATGGCTGGCTGGTTGAAAGTTGCCCAAACAGAGAACTGATGTAATCACAATGTAGAAGAACATTAGTTAAAACAGAAGCGCAGGTAAAACAAGTAAGATGAGTATATTTATATACATGTGACCACACAGCAAATGTCTGATAATGGAGCAACACTAGAGGACCAACAATAACATTAACACATGCTGACATGTGCAGAAGCTGCATGTCAGTGGCGTGTACATAATTACAGTTACCTGACATTGGCCCAACTGGATCGGTTTGGCACCACCAGAGCAGGAGCTTCATCCTTAGACAGACTAGTCACTATCCTCAGGATTACACCTTCGATCTGATTTAAAATCTCTGTCCTGGAAATAAGACAGTGGTATTAAGGTTTTCACCTTTCTATCAGTATCTTAATTAGTTATTTCTGGTTTTTACTCAGTTTTTTCTCAAAATCATTATCAGTTAATTAACAGAAATGTATCAAAATCTTTTTGTGATCAGCCTCTACTCATATACTCAAGCCATAAAAAGAAATGTGACTTGTTTCAGAGAGTTTTGTTTTGTCACATTTCCTGCACTTACAGGAAGTGTACTTACACTAAAAAGCTACAGATGATAACCTTTACTTACTATTACAGTCATAACTTCATATGCACATGTCTACAATATATGATATCCACAGGCATGTGAGAATGTGTTTCAGTTGCTAACAGGAACCAGGGGCCTCATTTATCAAGCTTGCTTACGCACAAAACGGGGTTGGAAAACTGAGTAAGCAACTTTCCACGCAAACTTTGGGATTTATGAAAGAAAACTTAGCGGAAAAATGTGCGCAACTTTAAGTTGACTAAGGACCTGGCTTACGCACATTTTGGAAATGGAGAGCACCTGCAGTGCTGCTGCTGAGAATGATAAAATTATGAAATCCTGCAGCATTATCACTTGTACTGCTTCATTTTCACACAGAACAAGACTCCCCACACGCACACACACATGCGCGCACAGTCACACACACACACACGCACAAGCGCACACACATACACAGCCTGAAGCGCAGAATACAGAATGCAGAATATCAACAGGGGGACAGATTGAGTCAGAATATCATGTGTCTGTGACAGTGAGTGTCCTGTCACTGTGACCCGATTGATCATGCGCCCTGGCTAGTTGAACAAGGGAGATCTCCGTTTGGGTGACTGGTTAGCGCACGTGACTTTCACCTGGGAGTCTGGGGATCAAATCCCAATTGGACCGTGTTTTTTATATCTGCCACAGATCTCTGAAGAATTCACAATGTTGAATTCAGCAATGCTGAATGTGGATTTTCTCTTATTTGTTTTGAAAAAGCACTTCCTTTCATTTATCCACCTCACCCACAGGTACCTCAATTTCTGCTTCTGTGAAATAGTGCTTACTTGATCTGCCTTGATCTATGATCGCCATCGTCATTGGCGGAGCGCTGCAGCAGCCGGCTTATGTATATGCATGAGATCCACAAGGTACTTTGCATTGACTATTTATGGCAGTAAGTGGGCATGGTGAGGGCGGGATGTGACGAAAAAGCAGCCGAGAACCTTTCTACTCCATGTTTGATAGACCACAAACCCACTTGGCGTGAGTACTTTTTTTTTTGCTAAGCTTAAGTATGGTTGTAGTAAGGATTCTACACAATGTTTGATAAATGAGACCCCAGGATTTTACATGTTCTTGACAATGAAAAGTCTCATTCGAACAACTTTCATTTTAACATCTAGATTCTAGAAGAAATCAGATCTTATATAAAACTTACATCTTTAAACGCCTTAGAGGCAAAATGAAAATCATAATTCATATCAGCCAAATGCACCATTTTATTCATTTGCATACTGTTTATCAGATAACAATTAAGCAGCCCCGCATGACCCATCTCTCACCTCTCTAAAAACCCATCAACCGATCCAAGATGGCGGTGGCCAGACGGTCACGCTGGGTCTGTTTTGTTAGCGAGGTTTTAAGTATTCGTGGCACAAATTTACTTCTTAAAAACCCACGTTTTGTTGATTTATCGCAAGTTATCCGCCACAATAGTCAAAATTTAAACTTTTTTTCTAATAAAATATGTTTCTTAAAAAGTAAACAACAAATGACCACAATATTTCAATATTTAGCTAGTAGAGCATTAGAAAGGGTGCCTGCTAGGAAAGAAAGGACCATGAACTTACTGACTGAATTCCCTATCAGCGAAAACGCTTTGTCCTGACGTCATTTCGATATTATTTAACTGCCGAACGCGAAGCTTGTCAATTTCGGAAAAGTTGTGTGCTCCAGATGAACTCATTTCATTAAATGATAACCACAAACGGCGACGACGTGTTCTCGCGTGAACGTGCGGGACTCTCGTGGAAGCAATAAAACACATTTTTACTTATATTATCATACATTGTGTAGCATACCCCCCCGAATGAAGGATGACACTTTACTGATGAAGTTTTGGGTTTAATGATGATGACCCTCAATTTCACCGTAAGAGCTTGTCAGATCCTTTTGATCAAGGGGGCTGCTAATAACAAAATCCATGTTAGATCTCCGTCAATGCTGCTTTGGCCGTTTTATCGCTGTTAAGCTAGATTGCATTAACTGTTAGAACAGGAAATAGACCCTTCGAAAAAAAAGCATTTCATTCAAACAGGAAGTTGATTCAAACGGATTATAAATAAAGGCAAGTTGTGCCAAATTAAAATACAAGCAAAAGAAGATGTCATTTTAGGGTTAGTTACACATTGTTGGAATCATCTGAAAATTGAATGTGATTGTAACAAAGGATCTAGTCTAGAAAACAAACGCTTTTACAACTAGTCTAAGTACATCTGGCTACGACTTATGCAATGAGCGTGAGACACGTGAGACTTGTCTTTTTAACGCGCTCTCAGACACTTAAAACGTGTTATTTGTCACGCTGAAAAAACGTGACCCAGTGTTGGAAAGTGGGTACTTTATTTCATCAGATAAAAACTCTGTTCATCACTAATTATCATGTAACAAAGTTAACTATATTTCCCAGATGAGCAAGTGGTCGTGTGCATTTTCGAACTGGGAAAAACGTTTTTCCCAGATCGGCATGAACGCAGCATCTGAACAACTTTTATTTCTGTTTAAATAAAAATATAAATGGAACCTGTTGGGTGGCAAATCAGAATAAAATTTCAGATAACCGTAGTTTTAACAAGTGCACACAAAAAACACAATATTTTTTAGCGTAATGGAGGACACAACAGGATGAAAATTTACAAATCCATTCACAAAATAGACTTACCATAAGATTCAATATTAAGATTAGCCATACAATGTTTAGATTAGTAATAATATGATTATTAATTAGATTAAGAATAATTAAAGCAGCATTTTGCTTTCTTTATTCCATTATTTTAAGATGAGATGAGATAAGACTTTATTGATCCCACAATGGGGAAATTTGTGTGTTACCACAGCTCCGAGTAGTGTCAGGGACTTGCATATCCAGCCAGGAAAGCACGGATGATTTTCTTGATGTCTTAATTTATTACTTTTTCTTTTCTTTTCTCAAAAGAGGTTTCCAACAGCACTTGACATTACATAACAATGGACATAACAAAGGAACCCAAACTCAGGACCTGACTAGAGACATGTACAAAAAAACCTCTCTACAGACACAACAGGATCAACTTAAATAGCTGGACTAAAACCAATAAGTAACTTGTGTGCACTTCATACAGTCACCCAAACAGCCAGTCCATAGGAACAAACACTCACATATTCAAAATAAAAGAAACATTACCAGACAGCCATTTACTTGAGGTGTGACAGCAGGGCAGCTGTCACAAGTAGAATAAAGCATCCACTGTTGGCATGTTGTGTAACTTTATTTTGTAGTTATATTTCCAGATTCTCTACATTTTGACCCTTTATTTGCAGTATTATTAAAGAGTCAAAATTCTTGGCAAAATTCTCAGCTGCCGACTACCTCAATTTCAAACTATAGACAGTATGAGCAAACATTTTGAAGTGTCACAGCAGACAGTTTGAACTCTTGGGCACGAGTGACTGCCCACAGTAGGGCGATGATCACAATAGGAAACATCCTGTCCACTAGCAAGTGCCGCTGACATCATTCCTGCATGATGGATTCCCACTAGGCCACATATGTCAGACACAAGGCCCGCGGGCCGCATAAACATTTTTATGTGGCCCGCAAGCGAAATATCAAAAATATATTAAAACTGGCCCGCTGGCCGATTTTACCGCAAAGACTACAACTCCCATGATGCTTTGCGTCGTCAGCGCGGAGCCGACGCGCCCCCTCCTTTGTGTTTTTTCCAGCGCCTGCGGCCGGTGTGCAGCTCCGCTGTCTCGGACAAACTACACTCCTCTCACTCAGCGCCGAGTTCACTCAGCTATTTTCTGACATTGAAGCCCAGAAACGGAGATTCTAGCCGCTCAATAATGTGTTCACGACTGAAAGAGAAAGTTTTCCAACTAACGTCCAGACAGAGCTGATATAACTCCAGCGAACAGCGACACGCTCAAACCAGCACGGCTCTGTGGCTGCTGCCGTTGTGTTTCCTCCCCGACACACAACAACGTGGTCAAGCTGATCAGACATGATCATCAGCACAAACCTATGTGAGCACCTGTTGTCATCTAATGTTGTCATTATTATGATGAAGATGAACAAAACAACAGGAGTCTCCTCCTCAGCTCAGATCAACCCCATGATGCAGGTATCTGGCTGGAACAGGTGAGCATCACAGTAAACCAGTGGAACAAATTGAGCTTTAAATATGTTGGTTTTCTGCTCTTTTTCTGCTCCAAAACATGAAAGTTAACAGGTGAGATGTTGCACTTTCATTTAAGATAAAATTATATTTTTATTTTGTTGTTGGCCCGTGAGAAAAGATTTAACCAACAGTAAAAAAGGAAGTGGAAAGGCTGCAGATAGATGAATAGAATAGAAAATCCTTTTATTGTTCCTCAGTGGGGAAAGTTAGACGTCACAGCAGCGATGACACTTATTACAGGAGAAAAAAAGGAGAATAAAAAATAAGAAAAATTAATAAACAAGAAAACATAAATCCTGAATAGATTTTAAAAATGCTGATTATACCACAAGTAATGAATACCACTGATGCCTTTTATTTAAAACGGACTTGCTCGTGTGTAATTTGGTTCTCTTTCTTAACATTTGTTTCGATGTCTCACTATGGGATACGCCCCTCCGCGGATTCCTCAGAAGCACTTATCTCAATACGCCAATCCTGGCTGGCCAGTGACCGTGACGTACGCGTCCCCTGCTACTATAAGTAGCAAGCGTCCCAACGCACGCACCATTCAATCACCTCTTCTCGCTTCGGTGGTTGCTTATCTCTCAGGTAAGTTAGCTCAACTGTTCACAGACGGAGCCAGCTAATATTCTCTCTCCGTCGCCGAACGTTAACTTACTGTCCTTCTGTCCTGACCTTCACCATAGGCTCGGGGCATAGCGAGCAGCTTCACATTCCAGTGCACCTGTTCGTTCTCTTGCTAACACACCAGTTAGCCCACATGGAAGCCGCTCCTCCCACCAGAGGAGTCGACAGCGCAGGAGCTCACCTCTGTACCTGTGGGAACAAAATCTCGATCAAAGACCCGCACAAGGTCTGCTCGAGCTGCCTCGGGCTGGAACACGCCCAGCTGGCATTGGAAGTCCCTGGGTCATGTGAGAGCTGTGCTTGCTTCACCCTGAAGAGCCTTCGCCGGCGGCTAGCGCACCAAGCTAGCCTGTCGGGGAAGGACCCTTGCCTGCCAGCCCCTGGGCCACCGCCTGGGGACGCCAGCGAACATGTCCTCCCGGAGCCGGAACCGTGTGCCGAACCCAGCTGGGGCTCACAGCTCGAACCGGCCGGTCCGAGCCACCCCGTCAAGGACGTGTTGGAGTTGGACTACGGAGATGACGAGGACACCTCGGAACTCCTCATTTCAGAGGAGGACGAGGATGACGACGTTTTTCTCCCCATCGCTCAGGCCTCCATGCCTAGCTTTCCGTCCTCTCCCAGGGATGGAGCGGCTTCTCCGGCCTCCCACCTGGACATGCAGTCAGTCTGCCGACGCACTGCGACCAGGCTCAACATCCCTTGGCCCACCGTGGTCACCGAGGTTGTCAGATCTCGCTACGAGGGAAAGAAGCTGCCTCAGGCCACAAGGGCGGCAAAGCCCCTCCTTCCTGCCTTCCCGGAGCTTCTCCAAGAAGTTAGGTCCTCATGGGACAAACACCCTTTCAGCTCCAGGTCTCCTGTCCAAGGAGCCTCCTCGCTGGACTTCGAGGGGATGGAGAAGGCTGGCATGCTTCGCATGCCGCGGATGGAACCGCTGGTTGCAGCCCACCTGCACCCACGGCTCTCGGCGACTTCCTCCAGGCCTCCCGCTCTCCCTGCAAAGGCGGACCGCTTCCAGTCGGCGCTGAACGAGAGGGCGTACAAGGCTGCCGCCATCTCGGTCCAAGCTTTGAATGTCTCCTCCATGCTCTCGGCGTACCAAGCCGAGCTCTGTGAGGACATGAATACGAAGCCGGACCCGGAGGTGTGGGAGGAAATCACTGTACTGACCGACATCTGCCTGCATGTACAGCGCTGCGCGGTCCAGGCTACGGCTAAAGCTATGGGCATGATGGTGCTCCAAGAACGTGCACGATGGCTGAACCTCACCAACCTCTCTGATAGAGAGAAGGAGGACATTTTGGACATGCCAATCGTGCCTGAAAGCATTTTTGGCTCTGCTTTGGCATCAATGCAGCAACGGTGTGAGGCCAAAAAGAAAGAGGATGAAGCCCTCCAACTCTGCCTTCCCCGTAAGCCTTCACCTGCTCTGCCGGCTCGGCCGAACCTTCCTCAGGCAGCTGCCCGAGCCCAGCCTCAGTTCCGGATCCCAAAGCGCCCGAAGCCTCAAGCAGTCCAACCAGCTCCTTCGGGCTCAGCGCCTCGACCAGTTTGGCCTCAGAGGTCCGGCAACCAAGTCGCTCCGCCGCCGGGACAACCCACCCGACTCGGCGGTCAGCAGGTGAAAAAGAAGAAGAGAGCAGCCTGACGGAGTTCTTTCCCTCCTGACGCTGCAGCTGGCAGTTCCCCGTTCGCCAGCTCCTCCTGTTCGATGTTGCCATGGTGCTTTCTCCCCCCCTCACGGAACCCCTCCGGCAGAGTCCCCGAGCGGTTCAGGGTGGGGCCAGGACGTGCAACCGGCTGTGCCGGCTCAAAACACACGTCACAAGCACTCACATTGTTTTTTACAAACATGTCACGCTCAAGGAGCATTAAAAAGTTCGCTGCCGC